TATTTAATCTTAATTAAATTATTATTATTATTTTGGACTCATTTTATTTTTAATTTCTCTAATTTAATTTTTTATTAAAATTTAATTATATGTAAAATAAGTTTTCTTCATAAAAACACCATTTAATCAATTGTTAGCCAATTATTATTTATAATTTTTTAGGTTTGAATAAACAAACAAAAAAAAGTATAGGTTTTGTCAGTCAGTCAGTCATTAGGTGTGTTTTCTTAGATTTTCCTATCCTCTCAATAAAATCCCTGTTTTTTTAATTATTGTAAACAATTATAACCGACTGAAACATAAATATACAATAAAACAAAACAAAAATTGTATGTTTTAACAAATGTCAGAAAGTTTCTTAACAAATATACAGTACCAGTAAGTAGAATGATATATATATATATATATATATATATATATATATATATATATATATATATATATATATATATACTCTCTCTCTCTCTCTCTCTCTCTTTCTGACATTACTGTGCCTCTCGATTCTGTCCAGATTTTCTCGGGATTTTACAACAAAACACACACAAAAAATAACAAACAAACGAATAGTTGGGAAATGTCCTAAACATATATATATATATATATATATGAATATCTATATATATTTATATATACATTTATATATATATATATATATTAATATCTATATATTTATATATGTATATCTATATATTTATATATGTATATCTATATTATATAGATATACATATATAAATATATATAGATATACATATATAAATATATATAGACTATATATATTTATATATGTATATCTATATATATTTATATATATATAGCGCTAATCGATTGTTTTAAAAATTGTATTAAATTGTATTTAAAAAAAAAATTAAGAAGACTATTTAAAAATTTTTGAAAATATTGTAAAAAATACTGTATAAAAAAAGTATAGAAATGTAATGAGTATTCAATTTATTTACTACTACTACTTCTTAATTAATTTTTTCTTAATTGTGTATAATTGAGATATATATATGTATTTGATAGCCTACATGAGCTGCAAACAAGCCGTACCACTGCCACAATGGGTCCGACACTTTGTACTTTACATACAAACAAAACAAAAAAGTAGTGAAAAAGTTTTCAAAAATGTGTTGTTCACCACATTATGATTAAAGATTAATGTATACAGTAATGTATAGATAGATGTTTTAAAAAAATTAAACAAAAACATTGATTAAATGCTTTTTGTAAATTTTGTCACTAATTTTTATCAATTAGTGAATTAATAAGTTTTTTATAATGGTTTTTTTTTATTAATATTTTGTAACGGGATTTTTAAATAGTGTTTTTATTTGGTCTGTAAAAAATGTGTAATTGAAACGATACAAACAAAACAAATGGGTTTTTTTAAATAGTAAATGTCTACCAATTTTTTTATTTAAATGTATGTAACCCTATGTATGTATATGTATTTGTGTGTTTGTGGATATGATCTACAACAATTAAATAATTAATTTTTTTTAATTAGATTAATTTCAATTTTTTAGTAATATTAATTTTTTTTTGATAATTTTTCATCAATAATTATTGCTCATTTTTTTTAATTTAATTAATTAATTAATTCAATTGTAATATGAAATCACTTTTTTTTGTACGAATCAAATAAATAAGAAATTTGAAAACAAAACATTGAATTTTTAATAATTTTTATTAATTTATTTTATTTCTATTATATAATTATTATCCCCTAAAAGTCATAATCATTTGTTTGTTTGTTTAAATTGTTTTTACATTTTTTTTGTTTTAAATTTGAAGCAAACAATCAATTGATTTATTTATTGGCAAAGTCTTCACCCTTTTTGATACTATCCTTCAGTTCTTTGATGGCATTCTTTACCAGATTTTGTTCGAAATCCGATAGCTTTCCTAATCCAAGATTTTTTTCGACACCATTTTTCTAAGTAATAATAATACGGTTAATAAATGAAGAATCATATCGAAGAAGAAGAAGACGAAGAAAAAGATGAATAAAACACTTACGCCTAACACAAGTGGTGTCGAGAAATAAGAAGCTTCGGTAACGTCTGACTTAACGAAAGCGCATTCAATCACTTCTTTGCCGTTCAACGCTTCCAAAAGCTATTGTAACCAACAAACAAACAAAAAAAACTTATGGTTAGATCCACTTATATTTTTTATTTACGGGTAAATAGTGGTCACCAAAAAAAACTTACCGATACTGCGAAGCGCGCGCCGGCAAAAGCCATCGACAAAGTGGCCGAACCCTAAGTGTTCAAAAACAAGTTCAGTGTCATTGATACGGAAAACGATAGATCCGGCGATTTATTGAAATAATAACATACCGTTCCTGCCTTCGCCTTAACCACTTCAGTGCCGGCGTCTTGAATTCGTTTGGTCAGAGCGTCCAGTTTGTCGTTCGGGAAGGAAACCGAAGGATTCGATCGCGAAATCAACGGAATAATAGTAATACCCGCGTGACCGCCGATTACCGGCACATTCACTTGATTCGGATCGAGACCTTTGGCTTCGGCAATGAATGTATTGGCCCGAACCACGTCCAGAGTGGTCACACCGAATATACGTTTCGGATCGTAGACGCCGTTCTTTTTGAACACTTCCGACGCGATCGGTACCGTCGAGTTGACCGGATTCGAGATGATTGCGATCATAGCTTTCGGGCAATATTTGGCGGCCGCGATGGACAGGTCGCGCACAATAGACGCATTGGTATTGAAGAGATCGTCGCGAGTCATTCCCGGCTTTCGGGGAACTCCGGCCGGTATGACAACCACTTGGGCGCCCTCGAGCGCCGCCTTGAGCTGATCGGGTCCGACATAGCCGGTAACTCGTGCCCGTGTGTTGATGTGACTCAGGTCGGCGGCCACACCGGCTGTGTGGGCAATATCGTAGAGACTCAGATCGGAGACCAGTGAGCTATGCTTAAGAAGCAGCGATAAGGGCTGTCCGATACCTCCCGACGCACCCAATACAGCAACCTTGGAGTTGACCTAAAAAAAAGTATCGGAAAAAACCCGAATTGCGAAACAAATCAGTCATTAGATTCTTGTGAATAATAATTCTTTAAAATTTTGATGAATAAATGGTTTGTCTGTCAAACCTGATTGGATGTACTGAAGGATCGGCTGTTCTTCAGACAGATTTGTGACAAACATTTGGCTGATTTGCTAAACATTTTTCCAGAGAAGACTTTACTTAGCAGTTATAGTGATAGTAGTAGTAGTTGTGGTGGTAATGATTTTCTGTCTCCTAATCTGATTCCGATAATAATAATTATATATAAAATACTTCACCTGAAGGTCAATAACGATAGACAACTGAAAGACAGTACAAGAGGTCGCAGCAGTTGTCGATGAAAGTCATGGAAAACAACAAATGATGTCAAAAGACATGTTCTTCTTCTTCTGTTGTTTTTCTGTTGTTTCATTCAATTCGTTTGATTTTGATTTTTCATTTTCATTTCATTTGAATTCAATTCTGTGACCAAACTTTATTGCATCTGCGAAGACATATCCAGAAATAAACAAAAATGGAGACCAAAAAGTATTGTATAGTTTTTTTTGTGGCCATAATTTAAATCATTGATTGAATTGTCTTTTAATTTTAATTTTTTGTTTTTAGATACGGATTGATTCAATTGTCGAAAAATTCAAACAAACCGATCGCCACACTCAAGAAGAATATATTTGAAAGCGATTCCGATGACAATGAAGACGGCAATGAAGATAGTAGTCGACCTAATGTCAAAAAACGAGTGGACACGTCGTCGGGCGTCAAACGACAGACACAGTTGGATATTAGTCGAGCGCTTACTGAAGATCCCAATGTCTTTGAATACGATAGCATTTATGACGATATGAAGACCAAAAAAGAAGAGACAAAAGTGGCGATCGAAACGGATTTGAAAAACAAAGAACGACCGAAACCTAAATATATGAATACTTTGCTGAAGTATTCGGAAAACAGAAAATTAGAAACAGAAAGAAGAGCTGAACGAAAAATACAGAAAGAAAGAGAACTCGAGGGCAACGAGTTTGCAGATAAGGAACAGTTTGTGACCAATGCTTACAAACAGAAATTACAAGAAATGAAAGCCTTGGAGCTTAAGGAACAAAAGGAACAACAGATTGAAGGTATGTATGGATACTGTTTTCGGTGATATTGTTGTTCTTTTAGATGTAATTTTCGTTTTTGTTTTGTTGAAAGATATGTTGGATGTAAGGAAACAACAAGATTTGTCCGGTTTTTACCGAAATCTACTTAATAGAGACATGTCTTCCGAACCGAAAACATCGGAAACTGATTTATCATCCGAAGAGTTAGCAGCAAATGTAGCAAAAGAAACTAAAGTAAAAGATATACCAAAATCTAAACCTAATCGTCAATTCAGAGCTCGCCGAAAGAGCTCTTCGGAAGAGGAAGAAGATGGCGAAGTAGTGGACGAAAGCAAAGAAAAACCAAATCTGTTTAAAAAACCCAATTTTGAAGACAAATCTAATAATCAATCAAATAAAACGATAAACAAGAGACAAGAAAGTAAAAGTGGAACCAATGAATTACTTCATGACAAACATAAGACTGCTATCACCACCAGTAGTGATGACCAGAAATCTAGTGATAATTTAGTTGATAATAATGAGACCACTAATGATGAGACAACAGCTGAAACAGAAGAAGAGAGGAAACCAAAGTTAAGCCGAAGAGAACTATTGATACAAATGTTTACTAAGAGAACAGTCGGAGAGGTATTAACTGAGGCACAGATGAGATACTTTCAAAGGAAAGGCAATTATGTTTTGTAAGATAAAGACAAAAAATTAGGTAATAATTAAGTCATTTATAATTAATAAAAATAATAATTATTATTTATTATAAATAAAATTTTAAAAAATAAACATTTTTATTATAATCACATAAAACTTGTTATAATATATATTTTAATAAAACAGTAAATTAATAATAATTTATTAATAATAATAAAATCATATTTGTTTTCCACAGCCGACGCTAAATGTATTTTGACTTAAAGTGCTTAAGAACTCCCTATAAATGCAGACAAATAACAAAATTATGTGAATATACGGTAATTCTCTATAAAAATAAATGTTACCCCAAATCATCTTCATTTGAATTGTTGTCACCAGAACTTCTTGGACCACCATTTCGTTGTTGATTAGAATGAAGACTACGCCGATGACTACTATTATTACGATTACTACTACTACTACTACCGGTAATACTGGATGTGTCCATCATTTTTGAGATTTTCTCCAATTCCCGATCCAACGGTGAACTACTACTACCACTGGTCCATCTGTTTCCAGCATTAGGACTATTACCACCGTTAGTACTGCTCATGGATTGATGTGCGCTTTTTGTTGTCATAGATCTATCATCTCTTCTATTCAATTGACCATTTGATGGTTTATTATTCTGATAAAAGCTATCACTTTTGATGAACTCTTTGACCACTTCGAACGTTACCAACGAATAGCCGAATTCATTATTTTGCGGTATATTCCAACTGAATGTTTGAATAAAAGTGATTTCACTCTCAAACTGTTTGGGTTTGTGTGTTGTCAGTACACAGATGAGTGTCGCAATCAAGTCATCCGACATAATACAAATGGGATCTCGTTTGGGACCTATCGGTAGATATCGATAGTAGTCTTCAACCGTTTTGTTTAGCTGATCGGTAACTAAATCTAATATCTTTCGCAAACAGTAAAGTTTTTCCAATGGTGTTGTCTTAATCTCTAAGTCCGTCAATTCGGCCAAAATGTTTGGATTTATTGTAAAATTAGTGAATACTTTCTGAGCTCCGAATTCAACCGGATTTATGCTTCGTTTGAAAAGTTTCATAAAATTTTCGTAAATCTTTTTATCATCTCTTTCGCAGTATTTATTAATTGCCAAAAATAGTTTGTGATGACATAAACCAATTACAAAACTATTAAACAGTTAATTAAAATTAGAAAATAGTTTGTAATTTAAATATATATATATATATATATATTACAAACCTTTCAATAGCTGTACCTAATTGGGAATCATTTGATAAACTTGTAAAACTCTGATGATTACCAAAAAAAAAAAAATTAAATTAAAATTAATTAATACATAAATAAATTACAATAACATTAATGTTAAACTATAATAATGAAATAAAAATTATTAATAAATACCTGAATACCAAATTCAACAATATCTTGAATAAGCTCTTTGGTATTATTGAGATAATTGGGTAAAACAGTCTGATTGTTAAGAAATTTGTCGACTTCTGATTTTAATGAATCAGTCAATTCTGGCGACAATTTAACTAAAAATTTCTCACAACTAATAGTAGAGTAAAAAAAATATTAAAATTAATTTGTTTTACAATAAATTATATATCACTATCAATGCAATACTAACTCATCGAAACTCATTAGCGATGTGTTGTCTTGACTGAGATGATTGCACTCACAGCTGATCCGTCTGTTTGATGAGTTAAGCAACGGATTATCACATATTAGTATTCGGTATTCTTTGCATTGCTTTTGATCCAAAAAAAAATAATTAAATCAATAATCGACAAAAAAATTTACATTCATTAATGAAAAAATAAATACAAACTTACGTTATTGTAAGCAATCTCTTCGCTCAATATGTTGATTGTCTCACAATTTTTATCGTCAAAACCTTATTAAAAGACAATCAATAAAACAATACAAAGAGTTACAAATTTCATCAATCAATTGGTAATCACAACAACAACAACACAAACCTCTGGTCACACGTATCACTTGGCCATTGATTTCCGCGTCTAACGTATGCTTATTATTGGAGGCAACAAAATGACTGAAGAAAACCCGACAAAAAAAAGAAGAAGAAAACAGTGAATCAATTAGTAGATCCCAATCAACAGCAGATAATCCTTTTTTTTTGTACACTTACTTCTTGAGAAGCGGCGACGGTTTAAGTATATGAGCCGTAATAAACTTGTCGTTGATGGCAGTGGTATCATAACTGCCATCAATTGGTACACATATTATGTAACACTTGTCCTTTGCCTCTCTGTATCGCTTGGCGTACGACTTCTGCGTTAAAAAACAAGACAATCAATTATAGCTGATCCAAACCAACCATATATGATATGATATGATATACTGACCACAAGAGTGTTGTAGAAGAGATTGTTATGCAATGAAGTCATGTTTGGTTTGATGTGTCAAATGTCTGTTCACTTTCAAGACTCAACAATTGACAACTGATTTGTTGTCAATTAAAACCAAAACCAAAAAAATACCAAAAAATCAATGAATCAAACAATTTGTTTGTTTTGTTTACACTTTTTTTTCATATGATTTTCATTTATATTTACATTGAATTCCAAATTATAATAGTTTTCTAATCATTAGATTTTAATTTTATGATTACATTATTACACATACAGTACAGTATCACTAATACTGTACACAACATATGAGTAGTAATTCAGAATAAACGTTACTTATAATAGAAAAGTAATGCCAAAAAACACATCAATAATTTAAGTATTGATTAGTTAGCAAAAAACCTGTTTACAGGGTTTACAAAAAATTGTTTATTTTATTACGTTATTTGTGATTAGTATTATTATTATGTCAACATTGTATTTATTTAAATGCCAACTATAATACTATTGACTTTAAGGATAAACCTCTAAACAGTACAATACATATGACAGTTAACTCTCGATAGTATGCTATGCATAGAGTATTAACTATACAATAACTATAGTGCGGGTCGTCCTTGAAATGTATCGCTTAATATGATTCACTATTACAGTACTTTACTATACAGTTGTCATCCAAACATGTGATGGAAAATAATGTTTGAAATCAAATGTTTTTTTGTTTTCATTTTAATTATCAAACAAACAAATAATAAAATCATATGAAATATGTTTGTATTTATTATTTCAGTGATAATCTTATCGGTAGTTATTATCGGCTTATCGCTCAAGATATATGTCAAACTAGTGGACTGTAGATATCGTAGCCGTAATGGACTGACAAATGATGAGACTATTGTTGCCTTTTTTCATCCGTTTTGCAACTCCGGCGGCGGCGGTGAACGTGTCCTATGGGTGGCCTTACGTGCACTTCGGGACAAATATCCCGATTGTCATTATGTTGTTTATACAGGTTTGGATCAGTTATCTTTATTATTTGGTGATGATATCGATAACTAAATGATTTTTGTTTGTTTTTTTTGTAGGCGATGTTGAGGCCAAACCCGAAGAAATCTTAGCGAAAGCGCGAAACCATTTTAAGATTGATTTGGATGACTCGTCCATACGTTTTGTATATCTTAAGAGACGATATCTAATCGGTTGCCAATTGTATCCATACTTTACACTATTGGGTCAAAGTATTGGCTCCGTAGGACTCGGTTTGGAAGCGCTGTTCAATTGTCGGCCCAACATCTTCATCGACAGTATGGGCTACAGCTTTACGTTTCCAGTGTTCAAGTATTTAGGCGGTTCACGTGTGGTAGCATATGTCCACTATCCGACTATCAGTACCGATATGTTGGAATTGGTGGCCCAGACACGTACCAGTTATAACAATCGGTCGTTTATCAGTAACAGTCCAGTGCTGACCAAAGCTAAACTTATGTATTATAAACTATTTGCATATCTGTACGGATTGATGGGCCGTATGGCCGAAATAGTGATGGTTAACTCGAGTTGGACTAAAGGACACGTCGAACATATATGGCAACGGGAGGCCCGAACAGTGTATCCGCCGTGCAATACAAGTGATTTGAAACAGTTGTCGTTGGCTAATAAAAATCGTCTGAAAATCGTATCGATTGGTCAGATAAGACCCGAAAAGAATCATAAGTTACAATTGATGGCTTTCAAAGAGTTTATCGATAGACTAGCCGCTGATGACAACAAATCGGTGGCAAAACTAGTCATAATTGGCAGCTGTCGTGACAGTGATGATGAACAACGATTGGATGAATTGAAAAAACTTTGTCATAAACTGGAAATCGACGATAAAGTCGACTTCAAGATTAACATTCCGTACGATGAGCTTAAACGTCAAATTGAAGAGTCGAGTATTGGTTTACATACAATGATTAACGAACATTTCGGTATCGGTGTTGTCGAATGTCTGGCCTCAGGACTCGTAACAGTGACGCACGACTCGGGCGGACCTAAATTGGATTTAATACGAAACGAAACAAACGGTTTTCTGGCAACAGATTTGCACAATTTTGCCGAAATTCTTTATAAAATTGCTAATCTATCGGATAGACAATTAATGGACATCCGAGTGACCGCCCGAAACAGTTCCGACCGATTTTCAGAGCAACAATTCGAGACACTGTTTCTACAATCCATTGAATCAGTTTTTTAATTAAAAAAACTTTTTTGTATTTCTAAAAAAAAGTATTTGAGGGAAAAGAGCGTCTATTTATTGTATTTTTTTATTTAAAATAATATATGAGAGAAATAAACTGTTAATATAAGAAATTTTTAAAAAATTAATCAAATGTTTAGTTTTATTTATTTAATTTTTTTTATTTGATGAAAAAACTTGATTATAAAACACAATTGAAGCGTTAAAATATAGTTGACACAACATTCACAATACATAAATTCATGTATTTAAAAAAATTATATTAAAGGTAATACAACTTTAAACACATACAAAATTATTTTTTCATCAAAATACACAAAATATAGTGTTATATAATAATATCAATAAATGCCATTGAATTGCCACTTGTATTACTGAGCTATTATACTGTTTACGATAATATAGATATATATTTGAATGAAGTGGTTGTCCCCTTACTCCCACACTAACGCCAGTTCACTGTTTCTAATACATAGTACCGACCATTTGTACAATCAATCAATACATACCCAGAGCGCAGTTATATAAATATTTACAGTAATAGTCAGTTTAAATGTCTATTTGTTTATTACATACACACACACATAGTGTTTGACGATATAATTATATACCACCAGATGATTAGGACTAAACTGATTTAATATATACTGTACAGTATATATATATATTTATTATACATACATATAGTCTATTAGTATTAGTATAATTATTATACATATTTAAATACATTATTGTATTGTATTAATAGAAAATATAAATTATGTTAATATTATATCTAATATTAATATAATCAATGATATAATTTATATCTATCTATCAATAAATCATATGTGTGTTTATGTTATGCAAATACAGTATAACTAAATAATAAAAATAATAACATATATTTCTATAGATATAGGATATTATGTAATGAATTTTTGATATTTTTCAAGTTTTGTTACAATCAGTGTAATCACTAACTAACTAATTTTACTTATTTATACAACTAATACAACTGTTTTTACATATATTGTAATTTAAATACATATTTAAGTAACGGTAAGTTTGTATTGATTTCAATTGATTTTTAATCTAATCGTTATTATTATTATTATTATTATTATTAAACAAATAGCAACTGATTTATACAGTCATAACTGTCAAGATTGAAGACAATGACCACAACAACAACTACAAGACTAATGCGTGACTCATTTGATCGTTTCGGCGATGATTTGGCCAATCTATTGTTGGCGTATCTGATGATAACACCTGAAGACAAATTGAAACTACAATTAGTTAGCAAACAGTGGCAGTCGGTGTTGTTTGGCGTACAGACTGACCTCACGATTGATATCGATCGCAGACATTACAAACAAAGAGTTAAATTGTTTGCTATGATTCTACAAAAGTGTCCAAATATTACCGGAGTTGTCATTACCCACCGCTCTGACTGCTCTATCGATGAATTAGTTGATCTATTGATGACATACTGTCCTCATTTGTTGCACTTAAGACTTCATATACTACATCACGAATGTCATCTGAATTGGGATACTTTTGACCGACTATTGTCGTCATTTGGACCACAATTGCAGACATTAGAGTTAACGACTGTATTTAGTATAGACAACAAACTATTGGTCCGTAAAGTCAGCGATTTTGTACCGCAACTAAAAAAACTGATGATTGGCTACAGTATGTATCCATCATTAGATTTTAGCCACTATTTCAGTCAACAGGGAGTTTGTCTTTTGCCCAAAAATACTAGTCTACAGTCGCTATCATTTCAGTTGACAGATCATTCAAATTGGCAGTCACTAATTGGTCCGTTTGCCAAAACACATGGCCATCAATTGACAACCGTCGACATTGGTATCAATTTTCGGGAAGAAACAAATTTACCGATATTTGTTGAGGCATTGACACAGATGTCGTCGTCTCCCAATTTGCGTCGACTAAGTCTAACTATTCAGAGGACTTTAGATCCATTTGTCGATTATTCCGACAATTTAATTGATGAACTAATACGACAACAGTTTAGCCGTCGATATTGTTATCAATTGAAAAGTCTTAACATTGAAGTTAAACGAATTACCAATAGTTTATTATTTTATAATTTTTTAGACTCATTGGGCAAAAGTTGCAGACAATTGAAACGTTTGTCTATTAATTTTAGAAATGAAGATAATATTAATAACAGTAATACTGATAATAATTGGCTAATAATGAGTGAATCAATGAAACAGATGAAACAATTGACACATTTGTCGCTTAATTTGGGAATCGGTTTTATTGGCGACAAATTTTTCATCGACATTGCCGACCATTTACCACGACTTCAAGTCATTGATATCAAGTATGCGGACATTAGCCGCCGATCACTGCAATCACTGTCCCGATTGTCTCACTTAACTAACTTACGATTTGCCAACTGTCGTAGCGCTGCCGTACTTTTCCATTGTATATTCAACGATCTAATTAAACGGCAGCCGAATGTGGCCAAAGTGTTCATTTCGTGGGACAGTAATGGCCAACAATTTATGTTTGGCTTTTATAACGATTGTGACACTAATTATTCACCAAAACATCCAAAATGTTTAATACAGTAATAAAACAGTACAAAAAAAAGAGATAATATTTTTTAAACGAAAAAATTGTCTACACTTTACAATCTTGTTGTAGTTGTTATTGTTTTTACTTATAAATACTAATTTATTTCATAAAAATTATTTGTTAAATTCAATATAATATAATTCCCTATTTGATTGATTGATTAAAAATATTTTGCCTTAATATAAATTATATAATATTAAACTGTTTACTACTACTGGCAACTGATTTTTAAAAAAGTTTAGTAAAACTGAAACTATTTATTAAAATTCAATCAAATCTATCGGATATTTAAAAAAAAATTAATGGACATCTCGAGTGACCGCCCGAAACAGTTCCGACCGGTTTTTTCAGACCAACTGTTCCGATACACTGTTCCTACAATCCGTTCAATGATCGGTTGTTTTTTTTAATTAAAACTTTTTATTATAATTGTGAGAAAAAGAGATCCTATTTGTCGTGCAATTTTATTGTATTTAAATATATATATAAATTTATATATGAGAAAAATAAATTGTTAAAATATATATCGGATATATAAATAATAAAATATACAGTTAACGGCAGTTAAAGTTTTTTTTTTTGATTTGACATAAATTATCGGCGATTTATCGGTAAAGTTATGGACAAATGTTGTACAACAACAACAAAAAATTTAATAACTAATAAAAAAATAAGTTATCAAAATTTTTAATTATTTATTTTCTATATTTTTTTATTTGTTTGATGAAAAAACTTGTTATTAAAACACAATTGAAGCGTTTAATATATACAACAGTCTGACACTACATATCTATATATCATAAATACCGGTATAAAACAATCAAACAAATAAAAACTTATATAACTTTAAACACATTACACACACAAACATAATACATGATTGCATCAAACTATAAGCCACTCCTATAATGGAGACCTCTGTTGTCATAATCATTGTGTATGTGTTATACAAACAGTATTGTATAAAGTGATTGACGAATAATACTGTGTATATTATACACTGTATAACATTAACATAACATTACTGTACAGTACTGTATGTATGAGTCGATTGATTATTATTGCATGCATTCAATACAAGTGTTGTGTTTATTATAATATTATTATAACATTTGTGGTAATCATATGATGATGTGATGGACGAGTCGCTCATCTATTACTTGCTATTGATTCCCATCTCTATTCCGGTAACACTATTCTTCATGTTGTTGTCGTGGATGGGCTTCCAGTTGTTTATCAATAACTAAGTGCAGACGTTGTCGTTGTCGTCGTCGTCATCGTCGGACAGTGACGTCTCATATAGTAGACGAGCGATACGATCGCCGCCGGTGTCACTCCTGGCAAGCGTTTGGCCGCAAATATCTACATATATATAGCCGTCATCAAAGATCGGGTATGTTTTAGACATATATATCCTATAGTTTTAAGACAATTTAAGACACAATACAAACCGTTTTGGGTTTATTTCTGTGTAAGACATCTCTGACTTCGTTGCTTAAGACCAGTTCGTCGTTCATGTAATCAAATTGCGGACTAATCTCAAGCGACTCTTCGCTCTTAATTTCTTCGGCTAAGTGTTGCTCTTCTCGTTCGTAGTGATCGTAAAGAGCTTTATTTGATTAGTAGTAATATAAAAGTTATTATTATAATGATTTGATTCAACACCAAGAAGTTGTCAATTGAATGAATGAATGGTTTGTTTTATCATTTTTTAAACAAAAAAAAATACAAACCTTCAGATTTAAGACGATAGCTTAAGATGTGATTGCAATCAATTGGTGACAATTGTTTTGCAAACAATTTAACCAATTGATTGACTGAAAACTCGTTGAGTGCCAACACTTGAAAAGCTCTGCAAATTTAAAAGATTCAAATTATTTGTATTAAACAAACAAAAAAAATCATTAATTCATTAGTCCTAACGTCTTAAGCGAATTGTTTCGGTTATTATCCAAATTAATACCCAACTCTTGTCTCCATTTAGACAATGGTTTGCTAATTGATTGTAAAAACTCTTTACTTTCGTCAATGATTTGTCTCGTTTGACAAAACCGGTCATATCTTTGTTGCGAAACAAATCCCATTTCATAACCTTTTGTTTTTTTTAGATGAAAAATAATTGCCGATTAAATATATGTTTGAATTGTTTGTTTTTTTCCGGTGACACTATTAAGTCAACAACAAAAATGATTAACCTCTTTGAGTGAACCGTATGTCCGCGTTGTCGGGTCTGAGCCTAAGTCTAAACTCAGACCTACTCGTAAACATCCGATACGGTTCGTCGGTTCCCATTGTTGTCAAATCATCGATTAGTACACCAATGTAGCCATCGGTACGACTTATAATCAGTGGATCTTTGCCAAGACATTTAGCCGCAGCATTAATACCGGCCACTATTCCCTGAGCGGCAGCTTCTTCATAACCGGTTGTACCGTTTATCTGTCCCGACATAAACAGATTATCTATTAGAGAAGTTTCCAATGTTTGTTTGAGTTGTCGCGGATCAATGTGATCGTATTCAACACCATAGCCCGGCCTTAACATTCGGGCCCTTTCGAGACCGGGAATCAAATTAATCACTTGTTGTTGTATTGATTCCGGAAGAGTACATGAGATGCCATTCGGATATATGACATCCGAGTCGAGACCTTCTCATAAAATTTTTTTTATCAGTTATACCCGTATTGTAATTATCATATTATCTAATAATAATAAATTGCAAAACCTTCCGGTTCGAGCCATATCTGGTGACTCTTGTGTTTGAATTTCAAAATTTTCGACTCAATCGATGGACAATAACGAGGACCTCTGACCTCTTCTCTGACATGTCGTGACAAATGAATGTTTTGCGTGATTAGATCTGTCACTCTTTCATCAGTAAATGTAAGCCAAGTATCTATTTGTTTGTTCTCCTATTTATTAAAAAAAAAATACAACAACAATAATAATAATCACTAATTGTTTATTATTATCTTCTATATGGATCAGTTGATTGCCGATATAGAGTTGTATACCTCTATCCATACGCGATCATTCATGAATGAGAAGGGAATGGGAGGTTTATCGCCATTAGTTGCCACTAAATTACTATAATCAATACTATTCTTATCGATTCTTGGAGGAGTTCCTATTGTTTTTAAAAAAACAAAACAAAAATAAAATATAAATTATTGTTAACTTCATTAAACGAGTTAATCGACTTTGAAATTTATATATATTTATTATAAAAAAAATGATAACCTGTTTTCAGTCGTCCCATTTGAAAGCCTACCGATTCCAGTGTATTGGCCAAACCTATTGCCGGCTCATCGCCTAAACATTTAATCAATTATTTTATTATTTTTGTATGACTTTTATGTCTTTGTTTTAATTCAATCCATTTTCAAATTACTGTACCTATTCTTCCGGCTGGATATGAATCTAATCCTATATTAATAAGACCTCTCAGGAAGGTTCCCGTTGCCAGTACTACTGTGCGACCTCTTATATGCTGTCCATCGCCTTTAAACATGCAATTTATTTATAATAATTTTATAGTAATATGATATTACTTGTGATAATGCCATGACATTGAAGTTTGTCTCCATTTTTATCTAAAATCAAGTCTTCAACCGAACAACATTTGACAGTAAGATTCGGTGTATTTTGCAATATCTCATTTTGCATCCATTTCCTATATAGGGATCTATCTATCTGTGCCCGCCATCCCTTTCAAATACAAAATTTTACAGTATATTACCGGTAATAGCATATATTTTTAGCCAATAAGGTATATTAATAACACATTTTTAAAAAAAAATTAATTAATAAAATTTGATATTAAAACTAATATATCAATACCCAAACAGCCGGTCCTTTACTTCTGTTTAATATTTTGTATTGAATTCCGGAAAGATCTGCCAATTGGATGATTCATTTGAAAAATGAAAATTTGTTTAAAATAATAATTATTATTATTATAATGATAATCATCAGTCAATTTATCATTTACCGCATATTTTGCCACAAATGCCATCCATGGCATCGATCTCTCTCATGAGGTGTCCTTTGCCGATACCACCAAATGCCGGATTACAAGACATTTCACCTAAAAAAATGGTGTATTTATTTCAAACTTATTGTTAAGTGTTTTGTATCTTCAATATAATAATGTATTGATAATTATTAGCTAATATTTACCAATGGTTTGTGTCTTATGTGTCACTAATAATACATTTGTGTTCATACGAGACGCCGCACTCACGGCCTCAACACCTGACAGCCGGGATATGCAAATGAATCAGTAATTAATTAGTTTTTTATATGTATATAAATAAGTGGTCACTGACCTGCATGACCGCCGCCGATGACAATGACATCGAAATCATAGGTCGAGTTTAGTCGCAAACATTTTTTGATGACACTGGATGTTGTTGTCTTTAACAGACAACAATAACCGTTGCGTAAACCATACATAACTGTAGTGATAGTTATGTATGATATATATACCGCGGGGTATATACTCGGTATATATCACTTGAATAGTTTGCTGTTTTATTTATTGTAAAAATTTTTAAAAAATAATTTATTCAATTAATTTTTATCCATTGATGACATGAACCACCAAAACAAACAAACAAAAAAGTTTATCGCATTTAGCAATAATATTGAACAATCAATTTGCAAAACCCATTGACTATATATATGATGTAAACAATATTTTTATTATTATTATTTATTTTTGTTGTTGAATGCATGCCTTTTAATAAATATAGGAGACATACAATTGTTTGCTAACAGATGGCTGTTAACTATTATAATGTATACAATAAATACATAGTTTTTTTTTTGTTGGTTTTTAGTTATACACTGTATATCGTAAATGCATTATTACTTAACATGTATTCTGTATTCAGTATATAATGTAATACTTGAAGTGTAATGTAGTGTATGATTCTTGTGGTATGAGTTTGTTGTGTAACTTATATATATAAAGAGAGAGAGAGAGAGAGAGAGAGAGAGAGAGAGAGAGAGAGGAAAAAAATAAAAGGTAATACCAGTGGACTAATAGAGTATTTTATATAATATATTATATATCATATATATAAAAATATTAAGTTTAATATTTTATAAGCACTGGTATTCAACCAAATTGTTGTGTATGTGTATGTGCTCTTCACTTACAGTTATAAATCATATATTGATTGATACATAGCACACACACATTGTGTGTGTGTGTGTGTAGTATTAGTTGGAAATAAAAGATTTGAAATTAATTTTCTATATATAAGTTATATTTTTTGTGCCAACTATTCAATAGTTTAGTAATAATTTTATTTATTTATTTTTTTAAATAAGATTCTTTATCTAACAATCTTTGTATATGTGATATTTCATTTGATTATATATATATATATATATATATATATATATATTTCATTTGTATAAAACTAGTTTTCAAAAATAATTATTATTTATTATTTTATATTTAAGTTGTAATTATTAAATATTTATCGATAATGCTTATATCATAGTGTATGAAGTTATTTGTTATAATTATTTTTGTTATTCAATTTATTTTGATTTATATACATGTTATATATATATATATATAATATATTGTTTATTCATTTTATTGTTGTTCAATGATTTATCTAAATTTGTAATATTATATTATTTATATTTTTCTATTTACAGTATTACTAAATAAATTGTTGGTTAATACACAGTATGTATATATATCTGTGAACATATGTTTCATTTGTTGAAAGACAGACACTATTGATGTCGTATATACAACAACACAAAAGATATCAATTTATAAATGAGTTATCAATTATTGACAAATAATAATATTGAAATAATGGGCGGACGAACATTGAGACGATACCTATTGATGGGACTGTTATGTTTGGTTACTATTGGACTCATCTATCAGTTTACATCACCCGCTTGTTTTGTATCACATTCATCGGCATCGCAATGGATTGGACCCGAGGTTTAAATTGATTTTTTTTTTAAATTTTTAAATTATAAATATGTGTAAACTTTGACAATCATATGGTCTAATATACAGTACATTGCGATTACAATTATGGTTTTATGGTTAGATTTCCTGTATTATGATTTTTTTGTTAAAAAAAGTAATAATACCGGTATTGTCTTATTATTTGCTTGAAGTAACTTATATTATGAAATTTACAGTTGTATTAAAATTATACTGTAAATTATAATGTGAATTACACTATGAAATAAATTTTTGATGTTTATGAGTTTTATTTTTGACATTATTATATAAATTATATTATAATACCTTTAATATTTCCTTAAATTAAAGTATAAAGAAATTTATTTTTTTAAAAAACAAACTTATTTAAAGATAACATAGAAATGTATTGTAGACAAAAAAGTGTTTTTATTATATATAAAAAATTGTTTTTATAGTGATTTTAATCGTATAAATAAATTAAATGTGTGTGTGTGCGCTTAGTGTTAATATTGACATTGAATTTGAATTTAATATAAATCTCACTTTAAATTATTTTTTTAATTTTTAAAAATGCAGTGTTAGCTGAAAACCTAATTTGTTATTTAATGCAACAATTTTTTTCTCTTTCTCTCTCTCTCTTTTAAATATCGATTCAGTAATTACTTATTCAAAAAATAAAATCTTATTTAAATAAAATTATATAAATACTATAGTACAGTATTAAGGCTTAGCTTTGATAAAATCTATGTTTATTTTATATACAGTATTTGTTTGATTCACCTTTCTATGACATTTACACAGTGTATTAGTTTGTAATGATGTTTTATTTTCAATAGAAAACTAAATAAAAAAAATTTTTATCAAATGAATTTTTATATATATATATACAAAAAAGTCTATTTATTATTATTATAAAGTAAAAATATAAAGATGTTTGTGTAATCTATGTTTTATTATATTTTATTATAGATTTATTTGTTGGTAAAAAATAAAAGATTATACAGTAAATACTTTATAATAAACTAAAAAAATAAGATGAAATTTTTATATGGAAAACTATACTAAATTTAGTTAAATCTAATTACGTGAAAATCCAGTAGTATTAAACAAAAAAACAAAATATATATATACAGTATATATATAATAAAATGCCATTTATTTGTCGATAAAATGACATACACTTTGCAAAAACATATGTCTATATTATACTAAAGCTAATAAAAAAAACATTTTGTCTAAAAACACAATATATATGCTATAAATAATTGTCTCGTAAATAAATTGCTATTTTATTACATTGATTGATTACACTACTAGTGTCTTATAATTAATTAATAACACATTTATAATATCGATTGCAATATTAGGCTCACTATAACTATAAAGAGAGAGAGAGAGAGAGAGAGATTCTATAGTTTTTTAGCTTTTATGGTAAGTGTTTACAAATGTCATCTATCAATCAAATAATATGATATATATTTTTATTAAGTTTGACTATTGTTAGGAATTATCAATAGTGAAGTTAATTTTGAAGCCTAATCTAGCCGTATGTTTCCAAGTATTACCCCATCAACCATCAAATTTAACATAACTGTGCAATTTTATTGCTATGGTGAACGGTATTTACATAATACAATTGTTTTGTCGGTATTTAATCTATAGAGAGTGCAAAACAATTAAATATTTTTCATTTGCTAATCAATAGTGTTTATAATTTAATTTAATAGTAATGAATGTAGTTTACTGGAGGTTTATTTTTGTTTGCAAAATTTTAGTCCTAAAAATTAATTAAATTTTCAAAATTATTTTAAATAATGCATCGTCTAGTAGTCTCTGGATGTAAAATAGTTTAATTAATAGAAAAAAATGTTTAATTTTAATAAGTGTATATAAAATTATTGATGTTAAATTTAAAAATAAAATAAAATATAAATTTTAATTTAAGAGATTATCAAAAGATTTAATTAAATATTGATCTAGAATTTAATTATTTTTTGATTTTATAAACCATTATATTTGAAAATTCAACATTTTTAGCTATATTTTGTAATAAATTCAATGTTAAAATAATTTTTATTATAAATTGGAATTTTTTTTGGTTAATATTTGAAATAAAATTATGAAAATAGTGAGATAATTGTGTTTTGATGTTTTCATATATATAGAGAGTTAATTGATTGAATTAAAAGTTAAAGTGAAAATCTCTGATTGAAACTTTCATTATGATATGTTATATTCTCTTTAATTATTTTTTTAGGCCATAACATAATTTTCATATTAATATTTTTTCCGTACCAGTAATATGTAGTCTATTGATATTAATATATATTAATATATTGTAGTATATATATATATATATCACAATTAAATATAGCAGAAATTTGCTCAATTAATTCAAATTATATTTCACTGTATATTAAATGTAATATGCTTTTATTTAATTTATACTGTAATGATATATTAGTTATTTATATTTATAAATATATACAAATGTAAATGTATATATATATATATATATATATATATATATATATATATATATATATAATATTTTTATATATTGGATATATATATTGAAATTATTTATATAGTGTAGTCAAACTTATTTTATTTTTAAATTAATAAGTTATATATATATATAACTTATTATAACTTATATATATATATATATATATATTAATATTGCTGTATTATCATATTATCATTTATAAAAATATGTAGTTTTTATTTAAATTATTCCAATAATTATCATTAGTAAAGAAATATATTTTTTATTTAATTTTTTACTAATTATTTTTTAGTTATCATTTTTATTAATATACTCAACATTACTATATTCCGGTATTACTAAATTATACAAATATATATATATTATATAGTTATTTGTTGTATATTTTCAACAATTTGCATAATTTACACTCAATTATTACTATATATAATATTTACCCACAAATTACACTATAATGTTAATTATGATTTAAATTATGATTCATAATTTTTGCTTAATTATGTTTTATTATTTGACAAAAATTTTTAGATTTATCATAATTATTATTATTATTATTGTCTGTAATCTGTATCATATATGGAAAATAGGACTTGATTTTTGAATGACTCCCATAATTATAATCATTTAATCGGATATTTATTTGAAACAATATTAGGACAAACATTATTTTTAATGATCATTTGTCTGTGTTATCATCCAAAATGTTAATACATATTATATATATATATTAACAAATATAAACTAATTTTAGAAATTAATTAAATGAGTTGTAATTATCACTATTTAGAAATTTTTCGCAATTAAATCTATTTAAAAAAATAGTTTTTAAATGACATTTTCAATATAATCTGTTACCATATGCTTGTAATTGTGTGTTATTTGCATACATTTATGTTGTATTAAAAATGTAATTTAAATTTTTAATTGTCAGTAATCAATATTTATTTTTATTTTATTTCTATGTATATTGTTTAGAGAAAAATGTTTTAATGGATAATTATGGTCGTAAATATTTTTAATTAATAATTTAAATCATAAATATATAATTATATTATATTTCATTGTTTTCACATAATAGTAAATGGTTAAGTAAAAATATTTTTTAATTAATTATTATTATGTTTATATTACAAAGAGATTATATGAGATCTAAAAATAAATCATTACACACACACAATGACATAACATTTAAATTTAATAATAATAACTACCAACACATTAATTTAATATTTAATTAACTATAATTTATATTCATTATTTATTCATTTATAAAGTTTAATTCAAATTTATTTATCAAATTTTAATTTGAAAATAATACGATTATCTAATATTTTTTTTTAAAAAACTTAGAGTTAATTTACGGTTGAATTGTTTATAATTATATGAATTGTATAATTTTTGTTGTTGCAATATTTATAATATTAATTATAAAATATTTAAAAAAGATTTATGTATTTATTTCTAAATATCATTTGTTATCATTTTTTTTATAAATGTCAATAATATTTGACATTTACAAATATTAAAAGCTATTAAATAGTCCATAAGTTATTAATAATAAACGTTTTAGAAAATTGGGTTTGAAATATTCAATGCGTTTATAAATCAAAAATCAAATCAAAAATAAAAATTTTAATGGATTTTAAAGTTTTAAAGACTATAATTTGAAAACATTGAATATTTTATAGTAGTATCTATAATATATGCTTACAGTTCACAAAAATCATATATGCTTTTAATGATTAATAGCTAAATCATCATTTTTATCATCAGATGTTTTTTTAAAGGATGATATTATAATACAATTTGTATTATTGTTATAAATGTCATAGATATTGATTATCAAGCAAATTGTCAGTATTATAACTTACAGTATGTATAATATAGATATAACGAGTTAAACATCAGTCACTTAAAGTTTTTTTATTGGCAAAAATAGCAGACACATAGGTTTGAAATATAGTGAAGAGTTTTTTTGTGAATTTAATGGTTACTTCGGGTCATTACAACACTTACAGAGAGAGAGAGAGAGAGAGAGAGAGAGAGAGAGAGAGAGAGATAAAGATTAATTGTAACAACAGTGGTGTCCCAGTGGTGTCCTCAATCAGTTTTGTGTGTGTGTGTTGTTGTTTTATTAGGTGTGTCCTCTTTAAATCCGTTTTTACATTAAGCCCATTACTCCATATATCACATGTATATTAATAGGCAAACTCCTCTCTCTCTCTCTCTCTCTCTCTCTCTCTCTCTCTCTCTCTCTCTCTCTCTCTCTCTCTCTCTCTCTCTCTCTCTCTCTCTCTCTCTCTCTCTCTCTCTCTCTCTCTCTCTCTCTCTCTCTCTCTCTCTCTCTCTCTCTCTCTCTCTCTCTCTCTCTCTCTCTCTCTCTCTCTCTCTCTCTCTCTCTCTCTCTCTCTCTCTCTCTCTCTCTCTCTCTCTCTCTCTCTCTCTCTCTCTCTCTCTCTCTCTCTCTGTAATCAATGACTATTTTTGAAACAATATTAGACTATATCTGTCATATTTTTTGTTTTGTTTTATAACAATATTTTTATTAAATATATAATAAAATGAATATATGTGTAAAAATTTTACAATAAAATAAAATACAATAGAATTGATTATTTATATACAGTAATAACTGTTATTAATGAGTTTGGATTTTATTTTATTAATACATTATATAAAAATGTTGTATAATTTCATATATATTTTTTGAGGTCAATAATCAAAATATATTGAGAGAAAAATACCATAGCTTTAAAATACATATAATTTATTATATCTGCTTAATATCGATATTTTATAATTTTTTGTTTCACTCATTTTTTTATTATTTATAATTTATAAGATATGTTTTTTTAGATGTAGTTTTCAGTGTCTAAAGGATTTTGTAGACAATATCATCAATTTTATAGTAGCAGTAGTTTTACTGTTATTTTTTAAAAAATAATTTTTTTATTAGTAGTAGATTTTATACAAACGATTAAATATAAATAATAGTGAAAACCCTAAAGTTATGATTCATAACTTATGAACATTATTATTATTATTATTATTATTATTATTATTATTATTATTATTATTATTATTTTTATTATTATTAATATCTTTTAAACAATACTTTTATAACTTATACAGTACTGTATATTGAATCACTCGTAACTTATCTTTATGTTTGTTTGGTAGTTATTTTCACTATTTTATTAAAATATCATTAGTGTGTTTGTGTTTGTGTCTTACTTTTTATTTTTACTTTTTATTTGATGGTAAAACATTTATCAATCATTTTATATACAAGAAAGTAATAACAAAAAGCACTGGTAACCATTGATTTGGTCTATAAAGAGATAGATAGTGGATACTATGATAGTGCCCGGGATATAAGTTAAACAATACGGGAGGTCTATAGGGTTGACTGGATATATTGGTATATAATGGTTTGGAGAAATGTTTATTCAATAAAACAGTATAAAACCAATATTATTGTATTAATCAATTCTATTTAATATAATTTATGTAAATTGTTTTCTATTATATAAATTTATAAATCTCTAATCTATAGTAATATACCGGTATTATTATTATATAAATAATGTATTAAATGATTTTCAATAATAACTTAAATCGATTTAGTCCTACACACAGTCTATAAATATTTTATTACTCAAAATAATTTTACGCTTAAATAAGTTATCTTTTTTTCATAACTATAATTTTTTGGATCTATAATATTAAATATATTATTATTATTATTATAGCGATTTGTTATGAGCAAAGATGAGAGTCAAAAGTTTGTATATAATCGATATATGCCTCTCATATTCATTGGAGGAATGCCTAGAAGTGGTACAACACTGTTGAGAGTACTTCTCGACGCACATCCAGATATCCGATGCGGGGAAGAGACTCGTGTCATACCCCGACTGCTGGGTCTTCGTCAGACTTGGCTGAAGGCCCCCTTCGAGTCGCGTCGACTACAGGAGGCGGGCATCACATCGGAAGTCCTAGACTCAGCTGTCGGTGCTTTCATATTGGAGATTATTGCCAAACACGGTACGCCAGCTGCCCGACTCTGCAACAAAGATCCATTTACGCTGCGGTCAGCCGTTTATCTCAGATACCTGTTTCCTAAGTCGAAGTTTATTTTTATGATAAGAGACGGTCGAGCAGTGGTTCACTCGATTATTAGCAGAAAAGTATTTGAATTTTTTTTTTTGATAAATAGATTGATTTACAGATAACCCAGAGATTCAAGTGATGTTTAAATGATTTTTTGTTTTGCATTTATTTTAGGTTACAATTTCAGGCTTTGATCTAAAAGACTTTCGTCAGTGCCTTAAGAAGTGGAACGCAGCCATGTCTGCAATGGTAATGAGATTTTTTGGACAATTGTTTTTTTTTTGCTTAATAATAGTTTTGGTTTATTTTTTAAATTTTATTTGTTTGGTATGTAAACAGCACTATCAATGCCAAGAGTTGGGCCCCACTGTCTGTTTGCCCGTACATTACGAACAATTAGTTTTGCAGCCAAACAAATGGTTGCATAATATCTTGAATTTTTTGGACGTTCCCTGGAATGAGTCGGTTCTACATCACGAACAACTGGTCAACAGAAAAGACGGAATCTCTCTATCAAAGTATTAAATGATTTATAGATTTTTTTTTAAAAACTATAATTACCGGTAATTTTTTTCTATAAATATCTGTATTTGTCTTTGAAAAAGATTGGAGCGATCGACAGATCAAGTAATCAAACCGATAAATATCGAAGCGCTGAGCAAATGGGTCGGACAGATACCCGACGATGTGGTCAAAGATATGAACGAAGTGGCACCGATGCTGGCAATGTTGGGCTACGATCCGGCCGCTAATCCTCCCAACTATGGAAGCGCCGATCTATTAGTTAAACAAAATATGGAACAATTGAACCGAAACAAAGAGGACTGGGATGCAAAACAACAGCACTTGCAGTCAGTTAGGGAATCGATACGCAATTCACTTGTCAAACAAAAAGCTAATAATAATAATGATAATAATAATGACAATAATGTCATTGATATGATACCACAAAGTAATGATTTGGACAAAACTTTGAGTCCTCTACAAAGTATTACATGATTTTCGTTAAGTAAATGGTGTGTGCGCTGAGTATAACATCATTTGGACATTAATTAAAATAAAAGATGAACTTAATATTGATAACAATAATAATAATGACGATAATAATGATAATAATAATAAATAATAACACATTTAAGTGACTCTTGAGTTGTGCACACAATTAATTCATTTTTTTGTTCATTCTCTCATTTCATTTAAAACAAACAACAAAATCAGTTTTTTTTGTGATACAACTTGAAAATAATAATTTTTTTTTTGAAATTTGTGATATAAACCAAATAATTAATTAAATATATCTATAATGAATATGTTGATCAATATATAGGCAATTAAATAATAATATTAATAAAACAGCTATTTTTAAAAAAAAAACAGACATTTATTGGATCGGCGTTTAAGGACAAACATACAGATAGACAGACAGACAGACAAAAATAATAAAATAATGTATTATCTTTCATATATGTGACGGCATATCATAGGAGGTGTGATTTATATACAGTATATACCAGTATCTGATTTGTGCCATACCTGTGCTGTTTTTTTGAAATCCACTCATCATTTTTTTTGTGACAATAATTATCATCAAATTTTTTATATGAATATATATATAAAAAAAAATATTTCCAGTTTTTTTTGAAAAATTATTAAATCTTATTTATAGATATTATATATATAAAGTTAATTTGTATTAATTTATTTTATGGGTCCTATTTTTTAATTTGTAAATTAATAGTCTAAATAAATTATCTGTATATTATTAATTATAATATAATATGTAATAATAGTTATATATTAATAGATTACTAATTTTTATATATATGATTTGAGATATTTATATATATAAATATTGATTATATATTATATATAAGTTATAATAAACGATTAGATTATTATTATTAATAATTTATTAATGAAATAATTGATTTAATATAGTAATAATTATTACCGGTAATAATAAATATTTTTATTTTTATATTATTTTTTTTAAATGAAAAATTACCCGAAAATGTTGTATTGAAATTAACAGTAAACTTATTTAAGACAAAAATATAATTTTTATTTTCAATTTTTTTTGTTAACCATTAATTTATTGGTGTATAAGATCTTTGGATCATCACTTGTAGTGGTCTTTAATAATAATAATAATAATTATTATTATTATATTTATTTTGTTTTTAAATATCTTATTCATCCATTTGTTTGATCCATTCCTTCAAGAAGGCAATCTGTTGGACAACACTCGACCTACTGGTGCCTCCTTTGGCCACATATTGGTTGACACTGTTCTCGAAGTTCCACAATAGTCTGATATCGTCGTCGAAATTGTCGCTAATAATAATAATTAACAATTTAGTTGAAGAATTTTTTTAGAAAAACAATCAAAAAAAATAAAATAAATTGTTTTCAACTAACGATATCTCCTTAAACACAGCAATCGGTAAGTTATGTAATTCAGTGCCCATTCTTTCGGCGGCCGCCACAACACTGCCCACCAATTCATGAGATTTACGGAATGACACCTTAAAGTACATATAAATATAATATATTTAATTATTTTTTAAAAAATCATTGGATAAATGACTGACCCCTTTGCGGACCAAATAGTAGGCAATATCTGTGGCCAACATATCGCTGCTGAGGGCTTCAATGCATTTGTTTCGGTTTAACTGTAAAAATAAAACCAAACAAAAATTTAGTTATATTTAGGACATACCCGGAGCTGACACATGAAATTTACAGTCAACGTATCGATAGCTCCAGTGGTCACTTGAATAACATTCTTCATTGTGTCCATAGTGTCAAACATGCCTTCCTTGTCTTCCTATAATAATATCAAACAATTGTATACAAAAAAAAATAACACCAATGAATGTCTATTGGATGTGTTTTATTACCTGAAGATCTTTATTAAACGTAGATGGAAGACCCTTGAGTACCACTAAGATTGCGGTCAACTAAAGATAAAGAGTTTCAGGACAAGACAATAAGTTTTTGAATTTTATAAAACACCGATAATTTGTGTATACATTGCCGATAACTCGTCCCGATTTGCCTCTAATCAGCTCAAGACTGTCGGCATTCTTCTTCTGGGGCATTAGTGACGATCCGGTACTGAATGAGTCGGATATTTCGATAAACCCGAACTCCTTGGAACTCCATAGTATCAAGTCTTCGGCCAATTTGCTCATATGAACGATGGTCAGCGACGACCAGAAGTGAAATTCGGCTACAAAGTCACGATCGCCGACTGCTTGCATACTATTCAGTGAACACGAATCAAAGTCCAATTCTTTGGCCAGAAAATCGCGATCAATGTTAAACGGATTACCGCTCAGCGCTCCGCTGCCCAGTGGACACACATTGTTTCGGTCGACAAGTGAGACCAGTCGCTGGCAGTCCTGGCGAAACATGAATGCAAACGACAGCAACCAATGGCTGAAGTAAACGGGTTGTGCTCTTTGCAGATGAGTATAGCCCGGCATTAATGCGTCCAAATATCTGAAGAAGAAGATGTTATCGGAGTTAAGCCATCAATAATCACAACAACAAAAAATAAAAGACAAACTGAGTGCTCCGTTTGACGATAACATCAATCAATTTAAGCATATATTTAAGCAATTCTTTTAGCGATTCCCGTAACCAGATTTTCATATCGGTGGCCACTTGATCGTTACGACTGCGACCGGTATGCAGTTTACCACCGGTTTCAGTGCCAATTAGTTCCTATATATATAGATATATCAGTGAACAATGGATTCAATTCTTATTTTTTTTAAAAAAAACCTTAAGTCTTCTTTCGTTAGCCGTATGAATGTCTTCATCGCCAGCTTTGATGGTAAACGAGCCGTTTTTCCACTCTCTCTCAATACTCTCGAGTCCTTCTTTCATTAGATTGAATTCCGTTTCTGGAAGAGTGGGTGAGTGAGTGAGTGAGTGAGTGAGAGAAAGAGATATTCATATATCAGATACTCAATCAAAATTAATGTCAAACTTTATGTATTATCTCTTATTTTTTGCTTATATTTTTCAAGTGTGAAACACGATATATAAGTACAGTATATAAAAGTTATATATTATTAATAATATTATCATATAATAAGTAAAGAAAAACCTTTCAAAAGATCGCATTTTCTGAGAGCTTTCGCGTAAGCAATACTTCCGGTGATATCCGCAGCGAACAGTCGTTTATCAAATCTTAGCGAATCATTAAACTCTTCCATCAGTGGATCCAAACCCGACTCAAACCTTCCGCCCCATAGCTTTTGACGGTTGAAAATAAAATAAGTGAAGAAAATATATTTTTATTTAGAAATATCTTATTATAATTTGCAAACAATTTGTAATTTATATTAAAGTTTAAAAAAATATATTATGATATGTTATCTAATATATAATACATATTTACAGCACATGTATAATATGTAAATTTAAAGTTTAATTATTAGATTTTATGTATTTTAAAAAATGCGCAAAAATATTAAATTTTTTTTATAATTTTGCCTTGGTAATTTTCCAATTGATGACTATATATCAACAAAAAAAATTTACTAATGAAATGACATCTAAAATAAATCAATTGATACTTACTTTGATTTGTTTGTCTTCTTTAGTCTCATATCTCAAGTCAATACTGGTCTCGATTTCACTCATAGTTTTTTGTTTGTTTGGTTTTATTGGGATATTTCAGTATTTCATTTAGCAATTAATTACAATTTGATTTTTAAAATATTAATAATAATTATAATAATAACAAAAATGTTTTTGGCGTGAAAAATGTTGTCATCAAAAAAAAAACTTATGATTATTTCAATAATTATAATAACAGACTAAATATCCATAAAATCCTTGACGAGTTAAGTAAATATTATATTTGGGATATTTTTATCTTATATTTTATATCAACAACAAAATTATTAAATTATTGATAATTATATTTAAGAAAATGATTTATTAAAGAGAAAGTTTTGTTATGTAGTATAAGTTATAACCAATATATWTATATATATATATATATATATATATACGTAAAGCGATATTATTATACATATTTTTTGGGGGATAATCTGCATTTAATTTGTTTATTTTAATTAATATTTAAAAATTGTTTATTCAATTAGGATGAATGCATAAATGATTTTTATTTTATTTTTTAATTTAATCAATTAGTATAATACAATAACATATTTATTATATACAAATATTTTAGAAAATAAATAAAAAACTAATAAATTGTTTATATAAAATTGCTATCAATATTAACATTACATTACTTTTAATTATAATATTTTATAACTTTTAATAATAAATACAGTAATTATTACTTTACATCACAAACAAAAATTATAAATATTTTACTATTATTTATACTAAACTAATTGCTAATAAATAACATTTACTAATACAATAGTTAACAAATGTTATATAAAGTTTAAAAAATATATTTTTTAAAAAGTTATGAATGAAATGTAATTTATGAGTAAAATCTATTTAAAAAAAAAATTTCAATACATTTGCGCAAACAGTTTAACCAAAAAAGTCATTTCAATCATGTGTTTCATTGAATAAGATATTGTGTATTGAAAACAAACAATAAACCGGACAACAGATGCCATCGGTGGACGAATTTCCCGAATCGGAGGTCAAGTTCGAGGCCGACAACAGTTTGCCGAACAACTCATGGCTGGTGAGACCGTGCGAAAGATATCACTTTCAGTACAAAGATTGTAAATGTATGGCCAAAGAGAGAGAGAGAGAGAGAGAGAGAAAACCAGATAATGTGATAATCAGTTTTATAATTAATAATTATTTTGTCATCCAATTTGATCCATTGATTTTAGCCATCAAAGCCCGTGTTCATCAGTACTTCATATTTGGACAATCGATTGATTGCAATCAATGGTACGAAGATTACATGAATTGTTTGGACTATCGCAAGACAACGGATGTCAACTCATTGGTAACCAATAATAATTAAATATGATTTCGATATCAAAGACTCGGCAAAAGTATTATTATTATTATTAACTGACAATATTTTTGTTGACCACAAAAAAAACAATTGACAGCAAAAGGTCATCGACAGCGAAATGAAACGAAAAGACGATCGATTGGCAACTGTCAGGCAGAACGATGTCTGGGAGTATAGAAACAAACCACCGGATGACTGGTCAAAACCATTACCGAAATGGTTTCAAGAGAAGACTAAATCGTCAGTTTTGTTTCAAAAACAACAGCAAAGAGAAGAACTCAAGAAAAATAAGTCTAATTTACAACAAAAAGATGAAAATGAAAACAAAAAATTTTAATCAAAAATAAATAAATATTCAAAAATCATTTTATTCATTATAATTATATTCAAAACAAAATGAATGTCATTTAAGCCGCTTTTTGCTCTTCTTTGATGCGATCCTTCTTCACCGGACCCTATATWWAKACAAAACAAAATTAATTAATTTATAATTCGTTACAAACAAATCAATACAATCTTATTTAGCTAATTATCCAAGAATTGGCAACTGATTACTAAAAACCTAAACCTAACTATTAATATAAATAAATATTAAAAAAACAAAGTCCTAATCAGTTTAGCCAATCCATGGATCAATTAGATAAACAAAAAAAATTAATGTATTAATGTTCAGAAGGAAGGCAGCAAATAGTATCTTCAAAATATTTAGTCAGATAATTAGCATTAATTGCAATCATCACTACATTAATACAACAATTACTAATGCAGATGGAAATGGTTGTTAGACAACAACCATAACCATTGAGGACAACAACACTTGCCATAAAAGCCTTCTTTTCTTGTGGTGTCTGGAACTTTCCGTGACCCATCTTCGATGACGTATCGATAAACTTCAAGTTAATCTTTTCGAGAGCCGCACGTTTAGTCTGGACCAACAGTGACTATAATCAACAACAATGATAAAAACAAAATTAATAACACAATCAACAAAAAAATTTTAAAAAATTATATTTTTAATTAATAGCTGTCTCAGTCCTATCATTAGTAAAATCATAAATAATTATCAGCTTTAAAAAGCTCTATTTTTCATCATCATTGACAACCAGTTTAACCACACACATTTCAAGATARCACACAAAAAATTGCTTACTTTACGTAGCGTTAGGACACGCTTTTTCGGGCCAGCGGTACATCCCTTAAGCATCAGATAGTCTTGGCCGACAACACCGTAATGGGGGAAACCTCCCTAATAAATGATAATTTAAAAAAAAACAATTGAGTAAATGCCGTAAAATAAAATTTAAAAATAATTTTATAGATAATCGTCTAATCAGTCCGCCCTAAATTATCAACAGATATAGATTCGGGTAGTGTTTGTACACTTGTTGTATCCATCATTTTCATCAACAAATAATCAAAAAGACAATCAATTAATCAAAACATACCATTGGAGTGATAGTCTTCTCGGTGATGTCCTGATCAGTAGATGCGTTATTCTTGGCATCTTTACCACCTTTACCGATACGATAGATCTTCTTATTGATTTCGGTTCGATGATGGTAACCCTTTTGACCGGCTCGGGCCACAGTAAACTGGACCCGACTGGGATGCCAGGCACCGATACAGGCAACTTTACGTAAACCTTTGTGGGTCTTTCGCGGCAACTTCTTTGTGTGCCAACGACTGGTCACACCCTTATAACCTTTGCCTTTGGTTACACCGATAACATCGATCATCTCATCGTTGGCAAACACTTCCTCGATGGACACCGGCTTTTCAAAGTGCTTTCGGGCCCAATCGATCTTTTCGGCAATAGTTCCGCCGTTCAACTGGATTTCCATAACGTGAGCCTTCTTCTGGCGCTTACGCATCAGTTTCATCTAATCGGAAGACAACAAAATAAATTAAAATAAACAACTGACCAAATAAAAGACATTTAGAATAAATGCCGACAAATAAAATAAACAATTTTAAAGATAATATGAATCAGTCCGCCCTATGTTATCAACAAATATAGATTCGGTTTGTGTTTTGTACACATGTTTTATCCATCATTTTCATCAAAAAATTAATCAATTAAGACAATCACCAATCATTTAGACATACATTCATAACACAATCACACGAAACAATCAATTCATGTCTTAGTATAGTCTATAGCATACCTGTGTGTGAGCGATGACACGGATAACAGTGCAGTACTTCTTCATACGTGCCAAATCTTTTTCAATTTCTTTACGACCCAACGGATCCGTCCATTTCTTAGCATTCTTGCTGAAGGCCTTCTTCTTTGATTTATACCTTAGTTTTAGAAGATTTGACAATACTATGAGTTTACAGTCTCTTCACAGTTAGTATAAAAAAACCGGAGCGGAGACTGTCTTTCAAAACGGTAAACACGTGGCAATCAAGAACTCATGTGTGCATATGAAGTACAAACAGAGGAGTCCTCAAAACGAGACCACATGTATGAACACGTGTTCTGTACTACTAATCACTTACCAGTTCTTATAGAAGCGACGGCGACAGTCTTCGCTAAGATGTTCGGCCCAAACACTCTTAAAAGTTCTCAAACCTTTCGGTGTTTCAATATAGCCGACAACACCGACCATAATCATTGGCGGTGTCTCCAAAATGGTCACCGCTTCGACCACTTCCTTTTTATTAACCTCTGCGGATCAACAACATAGAAAAATCAGTCAATTAAATCAAACCAATTTTTTAAGTTCATCCGATAACATACTTGATCCAGGCTTATCCACTTCGCGTACAATATGGGTCATACCGGCCTTATAGGCGATAAAAGAGGTCAAATGGACCGGCTTTTTCGGGTCATCTTTCGGGAAGGCTTTCACTTTACCCCTATGTCTTTTGCTACGCTTTTTCGGCGTAAAGGCCATCGAGCCATGTCTTGGCGCTGAAAACTTTCGGTGAGACTAATCGATAGACAATAATAATAATAATAATAAATGTTTAAAATGTCTTTCAAAGTCATCGGAGGAATAGATTCATCAAATAATTACTAACCATTGCCTTCTTCTGTCGACACGTTTAGCAATCAAAAGGAAGTGGAAATGTGTTTAAACACTGACTTTATATACAATTTTATAGACAAACAGCACATTTGTATTGTAAGTGTAGAGCGCATGCGTTTCAAAAAAAATCCAATTTAAACGTTACGCACACACAAAATGATTGCCAGTGATTGTGTGAACACTAAACACTACCCCCTATAATGTTAAGTGAATACACTATACAACTATAATTATTCTGTATTTTGTTGTTATTAGATAACAGTGTTTTTGGATATAAATCTATAGTATATTTATAGGCAAAAGTCTAATCAATGGATATGAATAACGTCTAGTTTTGAGCAACAATTGAAACAAACCCTTTTTGCATTACTGATTGACGACGACGTCATTGAAACAGTACTACTGTATTGAAATGTATTGTATTTTATTTAAACCATAGAATTGAATGATATTTTTTTTTCGCATAGAATTTGTTTTGTATTACTTGTTAGTATTGAATACTAAATACAGTTTTAAATGTATTGAATTCAATGTCATATAAATTATATATATTTTTTATAATACAGTATTATTTACATAATATACTACACTGTGTTTAAGTCTCACTCTATATAATACTACAGTACTGTATATATGACTCACAAACAGTGCAATCGGTTATTGTATTTCATTAAAAATGTAGTCATTTATTGATATATATTTGTATTCAACAAAAAATAAATAAATGAAATAATTATTTATAGTTTAATCTTCTTTTTGCTCCCCATTTATCAGTTGAATAAACAAATAAAAATTAATTATTTATTTATTTTTGGTGTCAATAAAATAAATATAAATTATTGCTTAAAACATTTGCTGAGATTTTTATATGTGATTTGTTTTTTTAAATAACATTAAAATAAATGTTAAGTCGTTTTTATGGAGAAAACCCCTCAAAAAAATTAATTAATAAAATAAATTAAAGATTTGTTTTCTCGTAATAAATAAAATTAAAGCTTTTTTTTGTTAATGTTTTTTAGCTGTTTTATAAAACTTTAGTTAAATTTTTTTAAAATATTGTTTTGTGGGGTTTTTTTGGGGGCGGAAAAAGTCGTGCCAAAGATTTTCTTCGTGAAGAAGATCTCTCTCTCTCCTGAAGACAATCTCTGGTCAAATCAAAACAATCAATCACATCATCCGATGGATCGAAAGAGCGGTGACATCGAAGTAGAAGATGTCTACGATTTGGCCGCAGAAATAGGCGATCAGTTTCAGAAAGTGATCGACAATTGCGGTTCGGATTCAATCAAACATTTGATGCCGAAAGTGATCCGCGTTTTAGAACACTTGGAAATGATGGCCATTGTTAAGGAAGACTACGATAGCAAACTGGATCAGCTCAAGCATTCAATCTTTGAATTGGAAAACGACAAACGTGTCAAAGCTGTCAGTTTGAATAAATATGAATTAGAAATGGAATCGATTGAAGAAAACTGGAGGAAAGAAAATCTTCATTTGACACAATGTGTCAGTCAATTGAGACAACAGAATCTAAAACTAAGCAATCGATTGATTGATAGCCAACAGACACTATCGCAGTCACTGACAGGTCTGAACCATTGATTTCATTTAATCAATTATAAAGGTTTGTGACTTTTGTTTGTTTGTTCATATAATTTGCTATTAGATCTGCAAAAGAGAGGACAACAAGAGATTGATCTGGAGATTGTGTCGTTGAAAGAGTCGATCAAAAGAAGTGAATCTAAAGTGGATGCCATTACTAAAGAAATGGACGAAAAGAATGAAGAGATTGAAAAAGTTTGTCATTTTAAAAAAAAAAAATTATGCCATTCAGTGTTGTTGTTGTGTCTGAAACTGAACTGTTTGTATCAAATTGATAGCTTACCGAACAAATTGAAGAAGTAATGCAACAGAATCGCGATTTAAGACGACGAATGAAACACAATAAATACCAATTGTTACATATGAACGAAGCCAAAGCTGATCCCAATTACAAAGACCTGATAGGACTGTCTGAGCACATATTGGTCACAAACAGTGATGATTGCGATCTATTCAATGATCACAAACCGTTTACATTGAATGAACTGAGAAATATTATTCTTGAGGTAAACTATTTAAGAAAACATTCCAAAGAATTGGAGGAAGAGATCAAAGTATTTAAGAAACCCATTGAGATTAAGCCACTGATCGATGAGATCAATGATATCGACAACAATACTTGTAATGATGTTAATAGTGGTAATAGTGATAGTCTTAACAGTAATCTATCGGATGATTTGCCAGTCGAGGGACCCATTAATAGAGAGCCAGAGGACAAACTATATCCGAGGAGAAGATCATCGCAAAACAGAATTCTTCGTTTGTAAGTTTCAATTGACAACTTGTCAGCAATGATTGTCAGCCAACTGTCCACAGTTTTTACCGTAATTTTAATTATTATTTTTTTTCTATAGCTTTCCGACCATCAATTGGAACCGACTAAAGAAATCTGCAAATTGATACTACAATTGATAGTGATTTTGACACAAATGTTTTGCACAATTACTATATATAAGTTTATACTATTATTTAGGGGTAATATTGTTTAAAATAATTTACCAATTTTTTTTGTAAATTATTATCTCGATTATTGAATGAAAGTTATCGTATATATATATTTACTGTATATGTATTAGTATAATGTTAAAAATGATTTACAACTTTATAAATTATTACAAATTTATATATTTAAAGATAATAAGACAGTAGACTATAGTATTTATTATATAATTTATACGTATATATATATATATATATATACTGTATGAGGACCACATATTTTGGTCATAAATTTTGTGTGCATTTTATTATAATTATTACCATAGTATCTATAATTTATAGTATAGTATATAATTTATAGTAGCGGTATATGGATTTCTATTTATTAATATTACCCGAAATATTATCGGTTAATAATGTGTGTCTGTGTGTATAGTATATTGTTTGCTAATTGAATACAATTTATTTTAGCAAAATTGTTTTTTAACTCAACTATTGTTTTGCATAGTAATGTTTTTGGTAGCTATTTATGAGTTTAAAAAAAATTATAGTTAACAACTAGTTATTGAGTGATAGTCATTAGATTTTTAAAAATAAATAATTATTATTAAATTATCAATTAATTATTGATATGTAATTTAATCTAGTTAATATATTGTTTGACATTATTTTGAAATATATTTTATTACATTTATATAAATACATGTATAAAAATTTGTTTTTTATTTCTAAACTCATAGAGTGGCTCTAATGAAAGTATTGTATATACAGTATATTATTATAAATTATAATATATGTTATAAATTTTATTTGCTTCTTAATAATCATTTTATAACAATTTTAATACAACTTTATTGATATATATAAAAAAAAAGGAGACATTGACTGTGATTATTGTTTATTTATATTTTTAAAAAAAATTGCCAAATATTAAACAAAATTATATAATTGTTTTATCATTATTTTGATTGAGATTTTGGAATTAATAAAATAAAAAATAAATATGTTTGATAACACATATATTGAAAGCTGATATCACTTTTTTTGTTTTATAATATTAATAATAATATTTTTATAATAAAGTCTATTATACTCTAATAATAATAACAATACAATAGATGACTAAAAGATGTATAAAATCAAAAAAGTCATACAAACGGCGATAACAATACCTAATATTATGGAATCTTTTCGTTTCTTGACATTTATTCGATGGACTAAACTATTGATTATCGGAAACTTATCTGAAATTTAAACCAAAACACAAAAATATGATTATTATAATTACACATCATTTACATCAATAACAAAAAAGAGATGGTTATCCCACATACTGGCCAATGTTGTCATTTGTGTCTGAAATGATTTGAATGTATTCCTCTGGTTAATCAAGTGATCTCTGGTACGAACGGCAACATTGATTTGTTCGTCAATCATAATCTCCGAACTTCTGATATGTTGGTTCTCTTTTAGCAACAAATCATTCTTCTTATTGGTCGTCGTACGGAAACTGTTGGCCGAAAACCGACAAAAAAAACATTAATTTTAATGTCAATTGCATTTACTGTTTGTCCGGGCGGTCCGGACTACTAACCCCGTGTCCTTCTTGTGCGGCCCCAACAGCAACTCGCGATTCAGTTTGGCCTCAATATTGTTACGGGTTTTGTTAAATTCGTTGCTATAGTCGGAAAGTATTTCCCGATGTCTTTGCAATGTATAGATGGTTGCGCTGGCATTCTGTACCCGTTCGCAGTATTGGGACATTTGGGTGTTTACGTCGTTCAGTGCCCGAAGTAGTGCATCGATTTCGGTATTCAGACGCTCGAAGTTGTCTTTAGAGTCCGTCATCAAAGGCGTTGTATCACTTCTGTCAATAAACAACAACAATGTAGGCGTCAATCAATACAATCTCGTAAACAATCACTTACTCTTCGTCATCATCTCTGTAGATGTCCTTTGAGACCAATTTACTGAAACTCAATAACTTTGAATCCAATTCGTTCTCATAGTGTCTCGCCTGACGTCTCAAGTCTAACCAAACAATATTTAACCACCGATTGAATCAATGTTTTCAATAAACAGATGTTTTTTTAGGTGTTTAATCACAAACCTTCCCATTGATTGGCCGTTTGTCGACCATTGATGTCGTTCATTGTCTACAGTTTTTTTTTAAATTGATGGTTAGTTACCGATGATTGCGAGCCACAGATGTATGAGTCCAACGAACCGTTTGTTTTGTTTACAGATATAAACAGATATCCAATGAGTTGTCATTCAATTCAATCATTGCGTGAATGCATTAAGATTTTGTTGAGAGAGAGAGACAAACGTCACAATTGTTTGTTTGTATGAAATGAATGAATAATAATGTATTCAATAGTCAATGCAATGCAATGTATAATAAGTATAGTAAAAGTCATGCGTTCCTAACATTTTCAATCATTGATTGCATTGATTTTATTGTTATTATTATTACAGTATTATTATAATATAAGTTAATTAACTTTATTGATCTCATCCGACAAGTTGTTATCGATTTGCATATAATTTAATATATAAATTATTACTATATTTTTTTTGGATATTTTTAAAAATATTTTTTTTTTAAATATATATTTGAAATAATATATTATAGTTATTGTTTTGATGACAAACTAAATAATAATTAAATAATTTTTTGTTTGTTTGATGTTGAAGATTAAAATATTCAAATTATATGATTAATTAATTATACATATACTATATATAACTATTGTAATAATTATAATAAAATATAGTCTAAAGTTTTTTTAAAAAAAAAATAAAACAAATTAATGGATAATATATTTAATTATAATAAAAAACATTTGAATGAAGACTATTACCAGATATTGGGCTGTGATAGCAGTTCATCGGTATGTATATATACTTCATGGACTACCCGTCCTCCTTATTATCATAATATATATGACTGTTTTGTCTAAAAATAACCGATGGATCTATTGTTTAATACAAAATAGTACGAACAGATAGTATGCGAGTATAAGAAACGGGCGCTTCTGTTACATCCAGACAAACACGACAACAACGAAGACCACAATGACATCAATAGTCAAGAATTGATGGAAAATCAGTTCAAACAATTGGTTAGGGCTAAGAATATATTAACTGATCCGGATATGAGACAGTCGTACGATAAGTGGAGAACTAGCGGTATGGCCATCAGTTTTGACGATTGGAAACGATTGGGTGCAGCCATACATGTGTCGATGCATTGGAGAAATAATCGGCAAAAAGATTTGATGATAACAAGTGATGACCACAAGTCGTGTGGCTCGTCGTCGTCGTCGGCCAGTGTTGTCCACAACGATCGGTCAACAGTCGTCTGGAACAGTGTCGGTGATAATGATTTGCTCAGAAAATTTAGAAATTATGAAATTTAAACTATTATTTTTGATTATTTTGATTATCTGATGTGTCAATTCTGTGCCAATATTTATCTCATTTATTATATTACAGTATTGTTATCGTTATTGTTATACAGTATAAGTAAATTTAATTCAAAGTTTAATAATAATCTCTTAAAATAATTTTTGTTTGTTAACAAAACATATCACTAAAATATTTTACAAATATTTATATTATTTGTTTGTTGAACACAAATATTACTATAAATTTTTCTATCGATTCAATCGATTATACTATAATTGTTGTAACAAATTGTTATATTTGTCAGAATCTAAAGAAATATTATATCATTTATATGAAAAAATCAAATAATTTTAAATATAATTTTTGTGCCAATAAAAAGAGGTCACTATATATTATGAGGAAAGAAAACAAATTATATGTTATATTGTTTGTTAAAAGTAAATGTTATAATATATTAATAAAGAAACAAAAATAAAAAACAATTTTAATTAATATCTATAATTGATCTATAAGTATGTCATGTGTTTTTTCAAAATCAAATCCTAAAAACTATTTTTATATTTTTTGTATATAATTAACAAAAAAAATATTTAAACAAAAATCCAATGTCTGGTCTCTCTCTCTCTCTCTCTCTCTCTCTCTCTCTTAATTGACTTTCTTTTGGATAATAAGTGGTCCGACATTATCGCCAGTTGTTTGGTTGTGGCCATTGTGCGCACCGTCACAATAGGGAAACTTCTTTGACCGCCAACAGCGACAGAATACGGCTTTCTTGTCCAAGTCTTCGATGTCAAACGAATCGACCACTTTGTCCGCCTCTTTACGTATCGTAGGATTCACACATGACTTTCCATCGCACGTAGAGCCGCCGCCGCCACCGCAGATACCTCGGGCTTTGACGGTCAGGTAGACGGCATAGGCGACGGCCACTGCTGTACCAATCCATGGCAGATAAGGACCAGATAAATGACCTGATGATAGTGGGAATGACAACACAATTATTAATAAGTTTGTAATTATGACCAAAAAAAAATTAAAAAATAATAATAATAAATATCACATACTTTGATCCATTGTCTTCAAAAATATTAGGAAGTGTTTCTTCTCTGTATAATAAATGCGATAACAAATAAATTATATAATTTGTTATTAATTAAAAATATGCTTTTTTTAAAAAAATTGATTGAAGTGTAAGATATATATTAATAGATATAAATTATTACTGTATTAGTTAATAATAACAGTGTATTTTATAATCGCATTTATCATATAAAATAAGTTATCAAAAAATTTTTTTTTTTATATAATAACTGTATTAAAACTGTCTCACTTTGTGCTAAACCAAATCTATATGAGTTGCACCACAAATACATAGATATATCATAGATTATACTTAATATATACATACAAATAAAAATTAAAACTCCTCCTCTAAGCATTAAACGTTATAATATCGCGCCCATATATATTGCTGTTATACTATAAAGCGTACAGTAATAATGTAAAGATTTATATATAAGATATTATTTTTTAAATTAATTAATTAACTAATAAAATATAAATTATAATTTTTTATTGAAATAGAAATATTTTAAATTTTTAACAATTATTAAAATTTAATTTTATTTATGAATATATTAATTATTATTTAATTATTATATTTTAATTTAATAATTATTTAAATTTGTATTTAATAAATTATTAATTGTATTAATTATTAATATGGAATATATAAAAAATTATTAATTATACAAAATTATTATAAAAAATATTAATTATAAAAAATATATATATTTAATCTAAAAAAAATGTAGATATTATATGACAACTATGACATTAGTTTTATTATTATTATTATTATTATTAGACATTTTAATTAACTTTAATTAACTTTAAAAACTATATTATTGCACATAATTGATTGTTATTAATATTGTATTGTATTTATCACAATATTTAGTACTATTTATAACTAATATTTATTATTTAATCACATTTGTTATCACAAATCTAAAAGTACTTAAACAACACGTATTAGTTTGTTTTCAATGCCACACAATGTCATCCTATAATACAGTCAATAGTATATATGCGCAATATTATAGCGTCTAATGCTTATTTTTACATGGCATAGTTATTATACACACTAAGTTGTATTGTTTGTATATATTAAGTATAATCTATGATATATCTATGTATTTGTGGTGCAACTCATATAGATTTGGTTTAGCACAAAGTGAGACAGTTTTACCAGTTATTTTTTAAATGGCATTTTAAAAACCAGTACTATTTGCTATCAATCATAAATAACGTTTAGTAACCATATGTTTGTCCCCCAAATCTATACTACAGTATAATAATAAAGTGTTTGTTTTTTGTATTATTTAACATTCATATACTGTATTAAAGCATTTTTTTCAAGCAATTTGTGGACATAATTGATGCCCATTTAGTGTTATGCAACAAAAACATTGTTTATTACTTGATTAAAACACATTGCAGTGCATAATCACAGTACAGTATATTTACACACATATTGAATATACCATTGAATTACTTACATATAGTTTATTACTTTTTATTTAAAAAAAAAACAACGCTTTGTTTGATTAGTATTATTACGTTTACTAAGCGTTTGACTAAACTATTTAAATAAAAGCCATTTTTTTTGAAATAATAATTATAATTAAGTTTGTCTTTAAAAAAAATAATAATATTCAAAACAAACCAATTATTGTTAACCAATTATCTTCCATACAATGTCTTCGACCGATGACAACACTACACCTGACCTGAAAGGTGGTCACCCGCCCGCAGGTCAGTCACTATATTAATGTTATATCCAATGCTATTAGTTATGACGTGTTTTTTATAGATAACATATTATTAATAATAATAAGTTATAACAAAAAACATGTATTTTATATAAAAACCATATGTTTTGTAATTTAAATGTATTTTTTTGTGTTTAAAAAATAAATTGAATATTTTTTTCTTCGGTAATAATGACCACCACTACCATCATTACCACTACTAGTAAAAGCCGGTGGTATGAGAATAACTCAGCACAAGACTCAACACAACGAGAAACCGCCGACAGCTGAGGCCAAAAAAGAGACAGACATTGCTGACGACAACGAAGACGAATTACTACCCGAAGTGGATCTACAGCCAAAGCCATCGCCGCTGGTTATATCCGGCGCAGTTGCACGGGTTGGTTGGCTGGACATGAACTGAAACACATCCATGTGTTGACCACAAATTGATGATCTAATGTTGAATTTATTTATTTTTATACCGATTTCAGGGCGACGGCGACTTTCCGACGGCATCTGTTAAGGCATTCCACGAGAAGACTCCGCAGCCGACCAATGACTTTCGGGCCACTAATTCAAAGCCTAATATTATCCATCAGCCAAGGAAATGAACCATTCAATCAATTGTCAGTTTCCCCCCCTCTCTCTCTCTCTTTATATATATATATTAAGACAGTTATTGTTTTTTAAAAATTGTGTGAAGATATTGAAGAAGAAGTTGAAAGTCACTCGTTATATCTAAATCTATATATCATATATGATATACAAAAACCCTATTTTTGATTTTGAATTTGTTTTTTTGTTGTTGAAAAATTGATTGATTAAACTGATTGATTGTTACCACACATGTTTGAGAGATAGTAATATAAAAATTTGTAATCAGAAAAGTCAAATAATAGTTATATATATTTTTTATCTATTATATTGAAAACAATAATTATTATTGAATATATATATATATATTATAAACACTTTTTTAAAATTGCAAAATAAATAATTATAATTAATATTTTTCAGTTAATATTAAATCTATTGTTAAAACTACTACTACTACCACTACTACTAGTCATCGATAGACAGTTGATTGCCATCATTATCGCCATCTTCTTCTTCTTCCTCCACTTCTTCACCAATGGTATCATTTGTTGTGATAAAACTTTTTTGATGATTTGTTTGACTGATGTCTCTATTACTCATCGATTCTTTATTATTATTAATAGTTTCCTCTTTGAAGATACGATTAATTAATTTATTTAAGAGTTGTTTAACTGTATTACTGGTCTCAGGTATAGATAACTGAGATTCGTTGAGATTCTGGCTAAACGACCCGTCCTTTCCATTGTTATCTAATATCACTGTTAAACACATTTCAGTCCTTTCTTCCCAACCCTGGAATGAGAGAGAAAATTCATAAAATTATTCAAAAAAATACTAAACTTTTTGTTGTTGTTTTGTTTTGTTTATATGAATACCTCATCCAAATCGTTGGATAAATAAGTGCTAAGAATTGAATGAATTTCTTTCAATGAATTATTTTTAACGCTCTTTGATATCAATATTAAATTGAATATCAAATTTATTGCTGAACTTAAATGCGAACTCTTGTTGTTTAAATCGGTGATAGCTTTAAGCAATTTGTCCGCAAAACCATTTATCTATAAAAAAAATAATAATAAATTATTTCCCTATTAAATGATTTAAAAGTAAATATATATATAATAACAAATACATTAAAAAATAAATTAAAGTTAAACTCTCAACAAAAAAAAATGATTGTCACCTGAGTTTGTGTTACTTTCAGTAAAGTTTCCAAATTGTTTAGTGGCGTCGGGTTTCTGTCTTTCAATTTAATTAGTAATCGCTTTTGAATTGCACGATATTGTGCGGTACTGGCGGCCAAACCAGTCTGTAGCTGATCGACTTGATATCGGGCCAGTATATGGTCATCGATTACGGCAAACACTTTATTCAACGGAATAAAACCGATATCCATAGCAGACACGTCGTATTTGACATGATTTTTGGCCAATCGCCGCAACAGTTCGTTGGCCACAAATGCCAGCGCACCGAACGTTTCGCTTCGGACGACAAACTGTTGGTTAACGGATTTGATTGTCGTAAATAGCGAAACGACACTGTGATCGTCGTATATCTCCAGACCAATGGCACCAGTATTGGCAATAGTGGTGTTAAACAGATCGGCAAATATGTCGTCCAAATGAATCGGCTGACCATTGTTGACGATTTCGATCGACAATTTATGTTCGGTTTCTTTTAATGGCTGACACGGCTTCGCAAATATCAGTATCGGTATGTGAAACAATTTGGAAGCAATTCTTGGCGCACCGTCTTCGTTAACATAACTGACCACTATATTGATTCTTGTAGACACTGGACACTGATTATTGTTTTTATAGATAATAATTTCATTTACCGCCGACGACATTGTTGTCTTATTGTTAATTATCGGTACGATCACTATATCTGGTTCGGCGACCAGCGAACTATGTTTTTCCAAAGCCAACCGTACGTTATTTGCTATTGAATTTGTCGTTAACTTAATGGACACTTTGAACATAGGATTAGATACTTTGGTATTAATAATGTTTRACACTATTGTCTGGACATCAGTTATCTCAATGTTGAGATCACTTTTGGCCGCTTTGGTGTTCACTTTGCTGTTCGCTTCCAAAGTATGCGAATTGATTATTCGGCGCAACTCTTGTAGTTCGGCCTCCGATTCGGTATAATTATATTCACTCGGATGAGAGTTGGGCACCGATACAATCTTGACGGACGGACTGGTTCCCAAATATCCGCAACAAACGTTTCCTTCGTCCGATAGGCAGACGAGAGCACCGGTAAGATTGGGAAAGAAGGCTCGCCTAATGGCTATCGGTATGAATGGCAATTGTGTGGCCCAAACGGTCCGGTCGTTGCAATAGATAATAAGTGTAGACACATGGGTGCCGATCAATGTCATGACTGCATCGTTGAATTCATTGGCGTAAGCGGTCAGACAACTGGCGTTGAACTCCAGTCTCTTCATAAACCAAATGCTGCCGTTCTCTCGGATGGCATACAAACATCTCTCTCCCAAAACCATTATAAAATTGTTAGATTTTTCCAGTGTTACCACTTGCATATCGATGACGGCTTCGCCCAACGATAGTGTCCAGTCGGCGGTCACTTTGCGTCCTTTGACAGGACCTGTATTGGTGTTGTTGTCACCGCTATTGTTGATGTTTTTATTGTTTTCGTCACTGTTGGCAATGGCCAACACTTGATAGCGATAGCTCTCAATTGTCCACAAAGAAGTGGCCACAATAAACGAATCGCTGTGTGGTAGGTATGCAAAAGCTCCGGGAAGTAATGCATTTGGAAGAAATCGGTTAAACGCCAGACTTTCCTGTTCGTAGAAACAAAGATTTCCATCGAGTGATTGAACACTTATGAAGTCTTTTCCTTTAATATATAATTTGTTTTTTTTTAAAAAAAAGTTTGATTTAAATTTTTCAATATTCATATAAATAAGATATATATTAATCAATCAATCAATGAATCAGACAAACCTTTTATCCGTCCAAACGATCCTAAAGTCATACTGAATGAACTCCTTTTCAATGAGTGCTCGTAAATCAATAATATATTATACGCCGAACCGTGTTCTGTGACACCAGCCGTTGCTGTTTGTAAGCACAGTTAGCACCGGATGGTTAGTTGGATTATGATATTTAGACGAAAAAAATAATTTTTAAATAAAAAACTATTGATACATACATGATATTGAATATATGGAAACTTTTGTCGGATGTAAAACAGCTAATTGAATGTTAGTGGTGGCCGATAATAGCAATCCGGTGCTAACTTGAAGTATAGGTGACTTGAAGTCCATTTCCATTAGCAGATCACTGGCCTGAAACGGTGGCAAACCATCATCAGTGGTATTGCTGCCCACAGAATATATTCTTAATATACCACTTAAACTTCCGATTATTATTTTATCTGAAAAATTGATTTTATTTTTAAAAGTTTTTTTTTGGAAACATGAGTTGTAGTTATCAGTAACATCATCATCATCATCGACAACCTCTAACATACCTGAGCCGCTAATAGAGTTGTCAACATTGGCCACACATAGCGAATTGTGGCCAAAGTGTTCATCTTGTGAGCACTGGACACTCCACCAGTCCTTAAACTTAAACAATGACATATTGACTAATGATTTTTTTTTGATTATTAGAAAAATTAAGATAATATTAATAAAAATAATAATTCAAACGACAAATACATTAAAGACATTATATATAAATATATTGTAGAGTTGTTTATAATAATAAAAAATAAATTTTTTTATTTCCAGCGAGTCTTTTGTCACGAAGGATACCAAACAGTGTTTTTATAGTAACAGAAAAATATAATATAACAAACATATCTAACAATTATTGATTTGTGTGTCTAATATTTCGCTTTAGATTTGCATAATAATTAATATATAGTTATATATATATATACCGGTATATACAGTATAATAGTATTATACTAATACTATTTACCTGTAAATTATTTTAATCAATAGCTATTATTATTTATTTACTATTAAAAAAACATATTATGATTAATATGTTACTATTAATATTTAAGTTATTAAATATTATTTATTGAATACAATAGTAAAATTATTTTTCTCACAAATTAGTGTTTTTTATTATTATTGTGTTTACTATATAATTAACTAAATTTATTGCATAATAATATATTTTATTGTAATATCTAACTTTTAAAATGACCATTTAACTGTTTATATATATATTATTAAAAATCTATTATAATAATTAATTTTGCTATTAAATTGTAGTTTACATTAGTTAAGTAAATTTTGTGTCAATAATTATTAATAAGGTTTATTAATATTCAATATATAAATTATTGATATTAAATTTACTATCTATTTATAACTTATTACTAACCAATAAGTAAATATTAATAATAAATATTTTAAATTAGTTGATAATGTTGACTAATTAAATTATAAACATACGTATAAATATAAATCAATAAATTAACTTATTTAATAATAATAACGGTGTTAATATATATTTAGTAAATCAATTTATTTGAAAAAAATCCCAAAAATGATAAAAACAAATTACTAAATAAATATTTTTTTTAAAAATAAATAATATTTTTATCCATATGGTTTTAGATTTTTTTAAAAAATAGATAATGTTTAATATCAATTGATGTGTCAGCATATCATTTAACAGTTAATATCCAAATAATATTTAAATAATTTAATATATTTCTGCAATAAATAAATATCAGATTACTTAATGTGAAATAATATTAATTTCAAAATATTGTAAAAAAAACTAATATTTTATATTTATTTTAATAGTCTATTAACTTTTAAATAAATATATTAGTATTCAGTTTTCTTTAATTATCTTTATGTAAAAATATAATGTAAAAACATTGAGATAACATACTAATAAAATTTATAAACTTAATAATTTTTAACCCACTCATTGTATTATTAGCATATTTATAAGTATATATATATATATTCTTATTTTTGTAAACCAATTAATTTCAAATAAAATAATCTTAATGAATATGCTAATGATATAAATAAAAACAAAAATTTTGTGTGTATTGTTTAAAAAAATTAAAATTACATTATATTTTACGATAGCTAATAACAAATACATACAAAATTTATTGAATGAATGAATATTTGTATTTTATATTAATTTTGATAACTAAATCTAATTATTTCTAAATAAATAAATATATATATTATATACTAATACTATTCTAAATAAATATATATATTTATCGTAAATATTAGAAATACGTTTTTCTCAATTAAATTAATGAATTATAATTTATGAATTTTTAAAAAATCAACAATAATTGTAATAATTTCTATTTACAAAAATAAATGTTAAATTAATTAAATTGTTTGCGACATATATAATATATTTTTTTAGATGATTTTAAAAGTGTACACAAAATGTACAGTAATTTGTGTCTACTAATTAGCTTTTACAACAAAAACAATATTTATTATAAATATATTTGCATTTTATGTTAATTTATTAAAACAACAACAGCCAACGATATATATGTAAATTAATTTATTGTCAATAAAACTGATTTCTCAAAAATTTTTAACGATTTTATGCATTTAATTATGTAATCATAAGTTGTGTTGATTTTTAAAAAAATAATATTATTTGACGATTAAATAAATTGTGTGTATATTTTGTCTGCGATATAGTCTAAACCCAGAGAGAAAAAAGACCATTAATTAAGTCAAAAGAAAATCCCGTAAAAGATATATATATATATTAAATATATAAAATTAATTTATATGAAACTTATGGTTTGTTTCATTCATTTGGTATATTAATAGTGTCATCTCTTTTTTAAAACTAATTTATGTGTATGTGTTTGGTGTGTGTGTATTGCGATATAACTTATATATAAATCTATATGTATAATAAATAAGATAAATGCCAGATATTTAACCGGCAATTAGTACCACACAATAGGGATATATATATATATATATTTATTGAAAGAGAGAGAGAGAGAGAGAGACTCTCTCTCTCTTTCTTTCTTTCTCGTTTATAATGGTTTTGATCCGCAGAGAGAGAGAGAGAGAGAGAGAGAGAGAGAGAGAGAGAGAGATTGCCATTTCAAATATTAAGTAACAGCTAGTTTGGGTACAAAGAATCGTCCCCTTACCAAGCTGACTTACTGTTTGTAGGTACTCCTCTAACTATGCTTATGAGTGCTATACGCATGTCTCTCTCTCTCTTATAAATCCTGATCTCTCTCTCTCTCTCTCTCTCTCTCTCTCTCTCTCGGTTTCTTCAGTTTGTAATACCATTTATTTATCCGATGTCTGCCAACAAAAATATTTAAGACTTTTCTTTCAGCAGAACAGCCACTTCTTTGTGAGTCACAGTTGTGCCGCACAATCATCCGCACAAAGACAAGACAGACAGCCTTTTTCCACCAAAAACACACACAACTAGTAGTTGTAGTATAAGTAGTAGTGATTTAGTTGTAAATCCCATAAATTTCATCAAATGTTTTCATAATATTATGTTTTTATTTTTAATTACAAAGAGAGAGATAGAKAGAKAGAGAGAGAGAGAGAGAGAGAGAGAGAGAGAGAGAGAGAGAGAGAGAGAGAGAGAGAGAGAGAGAGCAGAAAACTTAAACTTTTACATAATATATATAAATTATATGGATTTAAAATGTATGTAAATTTACAGTATTATATAATGTATTATATATTTTGGTTAACTTTATATTCTATGATATAATAACTGATTGTTTTGAAGAAACAGTTTTACTGATTAATCATATGATATAATATTATTGTTATTATTATAATATTATCATCACATCTATTGTTCAAATTTCTAATAGTGATGTCAATTAATAATACTAATAATTATTGTATTTACTACTGTATTTTAATGATTTTTATATACATTTTTATAAAATAAATTGCAATTTAATTTAAATAAATTTAAATTTAAATTAGAAAAATATATAATATTTATATACAATTTCATTGTCAATAGTAATAGTAATAATAAAATGATTACTAGAAAAGGCAATTATCAGGAAATTCTTTGTTTTTATTGTTTTTAACACTAATACTGTAAACTTGATTATTATTGGCATATAATAGTAATAGTAATAATAATATTATTAATACCATTAAAAATAGGTGCTAATTAATTGCATTTATCATTTTACAGATTTCAAAATTTATATTAATGTTTAATTTTAAGTTAAAATAAATATATTAATTTTTGCTTAAAACTACACCAAACAACAACAACAAAAAAAACATGACTAATACGTCAAATTTCTTAAGAAAATTGGGGCAATTATTGGGATGAAAATTTTGTAATAAATTTTAAATTTATTCATAATTTTTGAAAAGCTATAAAAATAAACGCACGTAAAAGTTTTCAACAAACTTTTTTGATATAAACAACACAAATACTACTGTATATTATAACTTATATTAATATTATATTATAGATACTGTAATAATAATAATAATAATAATAATAATGCAATACATTGGGAAAAAATTGATACTTTCTATTAAAAAAATGTATCAAGGGAAAATTTCTATTGTAAACTTTGTATAAAAAAAAATATTTTTTTAATAATTTATAATTAGCTTGGTAATATTGTAAATAATATACAAGTCGATTTATTAAATAAAAAGATAAACTTAACTGGTTTTACAATATAATTATACAGTAAATAGTAATAGTAATAATTAAATTATTTGTTAAAGTAATCAATTGTTGTTTGTGATGTCAAGAAATAGACCCCGGGTTCGAGTCCCACTCCCGCCTCCGGAGGCCATAATTTCATGGAAAACAATTGTTAAGCAAAGCTGACTCTCTATGTGTTAATTGACTTATTATTATATTATTGTTAATTGGTATTATTTTTGTTGTTGTTTCAAAAATAAGCCTTAAGTTTTAAGGACATAATTTTCAATATTAACTACAAATTCAATTGAATTTATCTAATCTATCTGGAAATCTAGTAAAATATTATATTTATACTAATAGTATATTAATACAATATATTTAATTTAATTAGTATATAATATACAATATATTTTATAGTCAATTTGAAATGATGAAATATTATACAAATATTAACAAAATAAAATTTAAAATGATTTTTATTATTTAAAATTTTTTAAAATATAGCAATTCATGGGTAAATATTCATAAAAAATAAATTTTATGAATTATATTCAAATAGATTTTCATCCCATATTGTGTAATATAATATATTTACACTACTTTCATGTCAATAAATTATTTGAATGTGTTAGATATAACTTATAGTAGATATTATAACTTTAAATAATAATAATACCTGTATATTTTGTTACTTAAATTTATAATTTTATTTAATATATATACTGTAATATACAATACAATATAAATTACATGTGTGTTCAATAAATAAGATATCGATTTATATCGGTTTTAAATTTAATAGTAAAAAAATAATAATAATACCCCGGTACAGTATAATTAGTATATAATAATCAACTTTGAATTACTATTATTTTAATTTGTTTGGTGTTAGTTTCGGGGGTAAGTGAGAAAAAAMTTTACCGATGTTTAGGGGGAGGGGAGAGAGAAAATTTCCGATAAACTTTCTATCGCTAGATTACAACCTACCTAACACTTTGCTAGCTTGAATATATTGAATATGTACAATAAGTACAGTATATATATATAAATATATATATAAGCACTGATAGCTTAAGGAGCAGACATTTGGTGGGACCTGTTTGGTAGCACTTTCTTTAATGTGCAACAAATTTTTTTTCCATTCAATGCTATCCAGTAGTGAGCATATCCTTAGCGGACAGGCATTTGAGGTTTGGCTGTATGTGTGCACTGCCTCTCTCTCTCTCTCTCTCTCTCTCCCTCTCCTCTACCAACGTGTGTGTGTGTGTGTATGCACTCACTCAAAGTGATGCTTAAGGCATTGATACATACATACTGTTTAGAGGCTCTTAAAAGAGTGAGAGAAAAACTTATATATTGAATATATATATATATATATATATTATAATAAGTCATATATACAGTACAGTAGTAAATATATATATAAACTACTACTTGTGTGCCAAACATAAACTATTGCAACAAAAACATTATAAACATTTTTGATATTTTCTCCACATTATGTCGATCTTTACTTATTATTATTATTATTCTGTGTCTACATGTCTACTACTGCTAACTATCCTATTGTTTGGCACTGAAAGAGCACAGTTGTCATCGGCATCGCAATCGCTGAGAGGTAAGACCATCTAAATAATAGTAATAATTGCTTTTTTCACATATCATCACTACTACTACTACCTGTGCGTTCACTAGTCGTGAGACTTAACATATCGCCAACTTTTACTTATAATGAGACACTTATAACGAGATTTTTTTTATATATATATATCATATATAAATTATATACTGTATATACAAATAATGCTAAACAAATAATAGTAATAATAATAAAAATAATAAAAATATCCGTTTTGTAAATTTAAATAAATAACTAATTTCGCTAAAATGTGTATATAATTAACTATTTTGAATCCTTGAAAAATATTCAATTAGTTTAAAAAGATAATAATAATAATAATAATTTTATATTAAGATTAGAGAAATTCTAAACAAAACTTATTATTAAATTTTTTTTAATGTAGGGATAGAGAGATAGATAGAGAAAACATTAAATAATTAAGTTTTCAAACAAACAAAACAAAAAAAGTTTTCAAAACATATCAATTTAGGAAATTTTTTTTTCTGTCAATTGAATAAATTAGTAATTAAGCTATTGATGCGTTTTTGATTATATTTTTTAACTAAAATAAACCTTCAACTAAAAAAAATGATCACAAAATTGATCCAACAGGTGATGTAATCAAATGTCAGAACGAAGGCGAAAGGGTACGGGTGTCGCTGTTATCGGACGACCCGTGTATTACATGCAAATGTTTCAACCGGGAGGTGGTCTGTCAGCGTGAGGTGTGCACCAACTATAAGGGTTGTTATCTACTGTATTACGGCAAGAATAGGACCTGTTGTGATGTCTGTAAAGGCTGTCAATACGATGGCCAGTATTACAAAAGTGGCGACAAATTTGTCGACAGCGCCGACAAATGCCGGACAGTTGTCTGCAATTCCGGTGTTATTACCAAATATACCAACTATTGTCACATTCCGTGTGATAATCCCATCAAAATCGATGGCCAATGTTGTCCGTCGTGCGCCAAATGCGAGACCAATGGCAACAACGGCAGACAAACTATTGCCAGCATCTATAACGCCACCATAACTGATCCCTGTGTCAAGTGTGACTGTGTCGGCGGTAATATGATCTGTACGAAACCGGCCTGTCCAGTGTTGCCCTGTCCACAATCCAAATGGTTTATACCGCCCAACGAGTGCTGTCCCATATGTAAGGGTCACCGAAAAGTTCACGATTTTGAGGGCAACTGTATTATGGGATTAAAGACATACAGAAATGGACAGACCTATGACTATGACCAGTGCTCTACCTGTGTCTGCAATGTAAGTCTTATTTTTAAAATTTATTTATTTGTTTCTCTGTTTATTTGCTAGATTTATAAATTATTACTAATAAATAATTTATTATAACTATAGTAATTAAATATAACTTTTTTTATTTGCCTATTTATAATGTTTGATAAATCTTCATTGATATCAATGCGCTAATTATAAAGAAATTACTTTTTAATAGTAAACTTTAAATAATAAAAAGTCTATACAATAGTTAGAAAGTTTGTTGTTTTCAATTTCAATTGTTTAAAAAACAACATAATGTTAATAAAAATCATTTTATATCATATAATTAAATTATATACCAATTAAATAAAAGCATTAAAATTATGACCCATTACTATACCATATATTTAGTAAATTTTAGTCTACAGTGAAGTTTAAAAATTATATAATTATATATTATTGTACTTGAACACAAAAAAGTTATAATTAGCAACAATTTATAATAAAACATTTTTTAATTTAATTTAAATATATATATAGTTGATATTTAGCTGTTTAATGAATCTTAAAATACAGTAGATTAATGATAATGTTTTTTTTGTAAATTAAATATAAAGTTTTAGTATAAAGTTTTGTTTGACTCATTAAATTGTGTCACACAAACACATCATGCAATGAAATGTCTAATTTTGATATTCTCTCTCTCTCTCTTTCTATTGCTTTTTTAAAAAAAAAACTATTTATTTATTTACAAAGTCAACAACAAATATCTGTGAACGACAAGTATGTCCAACATTGGACTGTCCGCCTATGTATCAGATCACAGAGTTAGGCGAGTGTTGTCCAAAATGTCACGAACCACAGGAAGTTCAAACTACTTGTTCATATCGGGGAAAGGAGTATAAGGTATTTGAAAAAAATATATTTATATTAAAAAAAACTACATTATTATTAACGCGTCTATCATATAATTATTTATTTTTGCTATACTATACTATAGACGGGCGAAAAATGGATGTTAAACAAGTGCTCGGAGTGTTCGTGCGTTAACGGAGAGGTCAGATGTAAGGCCAAGACCTGCGACAAAGATCTGGTTTGTCCCAAACGATACAAACTGATCCGTCTAAGTGGTGACTGTTGCCGATCGTGTGTTGAGGTTTTTTTTGACAACAATTTTTTTTATTAATATTCAACAACAACGAAAATAACTGTATATTTATTATTGTGTTATATATATATCTGTGATGATAATAGGAGGATGCCGTCTGCAAGATAACCAACAATCTGACACACTATCAGACATTTGATGGCCGAGAGTATAACTACAGCGGTAAATGCAATTACATATTGGCCAGGGATTGCACTAATAAGGCCTTTTCCGTACATATTGTCAACAAATATCATAATAAAACAAATAATACGGAATTCAAGAATAATAGTTCGTTTTTTACCGGATCGACAATTATGGTTAAAATAGACGATATTAAAGTACGTTTGGGACAGTCGGCCAAAGTGACAGTTGGCCGTAAAAGAGTACGTTTGCCACACATTAGATTAGGCATACTATCGGTGGTTCAAGAGCTCAATAAAGTGATCATCAGAGCTAATATTGGTATAACATTATTGGATTGATTGATTGATCAATAATTTTTTWWAATATGATATTTCTAGTAAATTATTATTATTAATGGTTTGAATAATCAATTAACGGTAATTATTTTCAAAGGTATTAAAGTGATTTGGGAATCGGGAAACTCGGTTGAAATACTGGTTCCGCCGGAGTTTAAATCAAAAACGTGTGGCCTCTGCGGCAACTATAACAACGACCCGAATGACGACTTTCTTACTAAAAGAGGCAAAATCTATACAGAAGTCAATCAGTTTATCCATTCGTGGAAAGTATGCAAACATTTCTTAACCATTTTTTTCTCTCTCTCTCTTTCTAAATAATGGGTCAAAATTTATCTACAATTGTAATGATATTTATATTATTAATATTATTATTATGATAATTATTAGGTCGGAAAAAATGTCATTTGCGAGTCAGCAGTCATGGAGTCGATGACAAAATCGATGAAAAGTCGACTGAAATGCGGATTCAAAGACTGGGAACAAAGACATAATGCCATCAATACGTGTAATATWCTTAAGTCAGCCCTATTCAGACAGTGTCACACTTCTGTCAGTATAACACCATATTTCGGGTAACTATCACTTTCATCTACAACTACTACCACTACTACTACTGTAGTATTTTCTCTAAATTGCAAGTTTTTTTTGCCATTACTATTCATAATTCATAAAAATATCATATGATATGAAAAATATGTGACTCATATATATATATATATATATATACAGTATATTATAATAAAACTTTCTCTCAAACAAACAAAACTTTTTTTTTATAGGAAGTGCTTATCGGATGTCTGTTCGTGTCATAAGAATAATGTCTGTCATTGCACTGCAATCCAGTCGTATGCAAATCAATGCCAAAAGTTAGGCTTTTATAGYCAACACTGGAAGAAAAAAATCTTATGCGACGGTTTGTATTTGCAATTAAAACAATTGTTATTATTAATCAAAAAATAATTGATATTTTCTACTAATACTATTAATTATATTACATATATATATAATTAATATAATTATCTCTATTATATATAATAGCAATGAAATGTCCGTCGGGATCGACATTCTCGACGTGTACCTCACAGTGCAAGAGGACGTGTCAAAACAGTCCCAATAATAATAATAATAATACTATTATTGATAATAATAATAATACTCATGAGAGGTCCAATTGTCGAAAACGAAAGTGTCGACCTGGATGCGAGTGTCCAATTGGCCAGGTATGGCATAATGGACAGTGCATCTATAAACAACTGTGTCCGCGAGTTGTAAATAATAATAATAATAATACTTATAATAACAATAATAATGTTACCATCACTGGTGAGGATGCGGCACAAGAGTCCAGCGGATCTATCATTAATGATAATATACTGGTGAAAGACGAACAAATTGTTGACAACTAATCATTTTTAATTATTATTATTATAATTATCATTATTTATAATTTAAACCATAATTTGTATATTTTTTGTATAAAATCAATTATATAATTTTATCGCTCTCTCTCTCTCTCTCTACCTATCGATCAATTTTACTATTATTTTGAAATAACGATTATGACTAGTCTATATATTTATATATATATATAATTTTATGTACAAATTCATTGTTTTAGTCCATATCATTAATTATATAACAAAACAACAAAAAAATCATTAATTTATCACAAAATTAAGTGATCATCAATTGGTTCGCTATATTCAATTAAATAATACAAACACACACTACATGTTATATAATAATTATTGTTATATAATTATATCACATCTAATATAATTATTCAATAATATCGATCAAATTAATCAAAAAAATACATTACAAACAATAAAATCAAACATTAAATTTCAATGTAATATCATTAAAATAATTATATATAAAAAAAAGATATCGCTGCTTCATTATATAATTTATATCAATTATTGTTAATTTATTATTATTATTATTGTTAGCATAATATAAGTCAGCATAATACTCAATTATTATTATTAATTTTTTTGATAAAAAATAAACTAAAAAAAATAATAATAAACAAATTGAATTACAATTAATTTATTTATTAGAAATGTATAGATATGTATGAAATATGGAAAATTTATATATATATATATATATATAATTCAAAAAAAAAAGATTATACAATAAAATAGGCACAAACTATTTAAAACATTTACACAAAAAAATAAAGATGAAAAAATACGACAAAATTAATTAATTTAATAATAATATACATTACAATCGAGTAATTTTTTTTAATAATTACTATAAACTCTTTTTTGTCTCTTTTTTTTAATTAAATAAATCAGTCGATAATTTGTTTTTTAATTATAAATTTAAATTATAATTGAATCGTTCAAATGACATGATATTTGCTGGTAAATGACTATTACGATCACTCAACTATTATCTACAATATTATTATTATTATTTGTTTGTTTGATTGTTTTGTTCAATCAAATAGATTGACAAACAAATTATTATTATTATTATATATATCACATGAAAAAAACAAATATAAATAATTATTATTAAAAAACAATTTGTTTAACATAATTAGCGAGAAAAAATCTATAAATAAACTTACAGATCAATGGGTGAAATCAAATTAGTTATTATATATGCAATAAACAATCGGAAACCCTATTTATATTTATTTTTTTTAATAAACGGTAATTATGTGGCATAACGTTTGGTCCACAATCGGGCGATCCGGTCGTGTTCATCCTTATGCTGTAGAAATTGAGTGGCAATACTACCAACTAACGGGTCAGCTATCGGAGGTGCAGCAGATGACAGGTACCGGTATATAGTGGAGGGTGGATCATATGTGTGCGGTTTAGTTATTGGATTTAATTAAATAAATAACTATTTTTTTAAACACTAACCTGGATTACAATCGGTCAATAGTGAACATATAGAGAGCAACACCTTGGATATGGTTAGCGCTGGACTCCAGTTATCTTTCAGTATGTCCAGACAGATGACACCCTGGCTATTGATATTGCAATGGTATATACGGGTCCGAAATGTTACCTAACAGTTCATTTAAGAAGACAAAGACAAAAAAAAGTTAATACAATTATTTTTATCTCAAAAAAAACAGTCCAAAAGTGATGAACCTTTGGTGGTTTGAATGGATATTCCGGTGAAAAGTGAATGTCAAGGAAAAAGACGCCGCCTTCGTATACGGATCCGGGAGGTCCAAGAATCTGGACATTCAGTAGACAAATAAAATTAATTATTAAATCAATCAATCAATCAATAAACAAATTTACTTACAGTTGAAACCCATTCGTAGAGGTTATCGCCTTTAGGTCCGGCGCTAAAAAAAGAGCAAACAGTTTCGGTCAGTAAATGTAATTACATGTAGAGGACAAATAGTGGTCAATCAATCAATCAAATTAGATCTAATCTGACAACAAACCTGCAATTTGGTGGCGGATCTAATGTAATTTCTGCCAACTCCTTCTGAATTCTGTCAGATTCAAAGAAAAAACAAACAATTCAATGATGTTAGTCATCGGTGGTATCAATWAGATAGTCRTTRGACTATAACAACAACAACAAACCTCTTAGCGCTAGTACTCAAGGCTTTCGACATCTTTGGATTCATTTTAATGTCTTTACTGACGTTGTCTTTATTGTCACCGTTTTGTCTATCATTGCTATTACTAGTAGTAGTAGTAGTATTGGTTTGGCTGCCGCTGTTGCCGTTAACACTATTGTTGTTATTGTTCGTATGTCTGGCCACATGCCGGTTAACAGTGGTGTTGGCACTGGTGCCGGCGGCCGCTACCGCAGCCGCCGTCGCACTTGTTTGCGAACTGTTACCGCTGGCGCCGCCCGTCACCGACCCGGCGGCCGCCATCGATGACGAACCGCCGCTGACGCTGTCGGCGCTTACTCTCATCTTCTTATTTCTGTCCCTTTCAAGTCGGTCTTCGCTCATGTCTTCTTCTTCTTCTTCTTATGGATCAGTTGTTGGATGATAACAATGACGATGATGTTGTTGTTGTCCGTTGCTGTTTTGGTGGACAATCGGGCGGTCAATGTATGGACAATGAGTGGCCAATACAACAAAATGCTGTGATTTTTAATATAATATATAAAAATATGTTTCCATTCAATGAATGACTGACTGACTGACTAAAAGAGTCACAAAATAATATACAATATATTATAACTAATGGTATTATATATGTTAGGCTTTCTCTACACTTTGAGTTTAATACAACATTCAAGCATTCAATTGAATATACATTTTATTTGCTGTATGTCGTTGTCTATACATTGACTGCACTGTAGTTATATTAGTTGACTACACCTATTGAATAGCATTGTATTGATATGTGTGTGTGTACTCAATACTGGATGATAGACTGTATCCTATCAAAGCAAATATTATAACATACAGTGGCCTTACTTTGAACGCCTACACTGAGATATACCATAAACTCCGCCCACATTTACAACTAAAAAAAACTACAGTCGACTGTCGCTATGATAAATTCAATTAAATGACACACATGTTTTTTGTTAGTACGTTAAGTATACAGTATTGTATATACAGTATAATATACACACACAGTGTGTATTACACACACACACACTGTATATTCACTACAGTATTAATAGTACTGTATTTGTATTGTTATTGAATTTTTGCAAAAACATCGATAGGATCGATGATTTATTTTATTTTATATATAGTTTTTTTTGGTAACCAAAAATATAATATGATAATTGTTTTTTTTTAAATAAAAAAAATAGAAAAATTTGAAATGACAATTTATATTAATTGCATCGAAATAGGTATATATATATATATATATAATACAGTATATATAAATTATAGTATTAAGTTTTTTTTGTTTAGTAATTTTATAAGCATTTAATAGGTTTTTTTCCTTATAATAATGATAATATCGTTTTTTTTGTGTGCGTTAGTGTTAGTTAATAACTTTCAGTGTTTTCAATTATACTATACTGGTATTATACTAATAGTAGGAAAAAAATACTGTACTATACAAACAAGCACAGGTAGCATAAAGCACAGTAGGTAAAAAAATACTGTATTAGGGCCAATGCTATAAATTTCACCATATATATATATAAATTATATAAATATATTATAGGTATATACTGTATGAATTTTTACTGTAGAAAATAAAAATGATAAATTAATCATTAAGTTAACAACAACATCAACAAAAATACTACTGTAAAATAACTAAATTTAATTATTATTATTATTAATACAAAATGAATAAATAATTTTTAATTAATTCAATTTTTTTCAAGTGATATGTATTAGTAGTATATTTATTTTATTTTTTGTTATTTGGAAAATAGTTTTGAATTAAATTTTATTTATTTATTTTTGTGTTGTTGTTAAACAAATTGATTTGATTAGTTTTTTTTAAAAAATGATATTTTATTATTTATTTTACTAATAACAGTATTATGTAAGTTAGTATTGCATATAAAAACTAAAATAAAACTATTAATTACTTTTTTTTAACAAATTACTTGAATGAAAAATGTTATATGAATATATTATAATAAATTAACATTAACAAACAAAAATTATTATTTAATAATAAAAAAAATTATTCTAAACTTATCATATCATTTAACAACAATCATCAAACATACTATACTTTACATAAACTGGTGTATATATAAAGTTATTTTGTTACTATATTAGTGTATATTTTTTTAGATTTATAAAAAAAAAATCTCACATTTAAAAATACATTATGAATCATATTAACCAACAAAACCAATAAAATTGGCACATAATTTGCATATTTAGATATTTAAGATATACAAGTTTTTTTTTGTTAAAAAAAATAAAAATATATAAACCATATATAATTTATAAATGATATATAAAATTTGCTTATAAACATTGATCGATATATACTTATATACTGTACGATAAAATGTTATATCTATTTATCAATATTCATTCAGTAGTGAATTTTTTATGTGAGTATAAAATAAATAAATGTTATGCTATTATAAGTAATATATTATTGTGTGTCGAAAATTGGCATTAACTAAAGAAATGTATATAAATACAATTACAGATAAATATGTTATAATAAACGTATATATATAAAAAACTAAAATTGCGTGTAATGTAATTACACACCTCATCACATATTTTTGATGCCTACTAAATGATATAACTTATATACAATATACCCAGTAATCCAATGCATGGTTTAATAATACTATAGTAATATATAAATGCAAAAGTTTTATTATTATTATTATTATAGTGTCGCTATTATTATTATAATACAGTATTAGCTTTGATTGTGTGTGTGTTTGTGTGTGTGTTTGTCAGTGATGAATATGATAAAAGAGGATAACAAACATATATACAGTATATACAGCATATATAGAGTATTACTGTATAAATATATGTAGAAACTAACACAAAGAAATGTTAGATTTTTTTTATTATTATAATATTATTTGTTAGCCGCCTGTTATGTAACAATGATACCGATGCCCACACATAACAGCAATAGTATAGTATTATTGTGACTCATTTATTAGACATTTATATGTTTTCTTTATATATATATATATACCGTATATATTGTAGTCTTATGTTAAATAAATATTAATTTTATTAAATACGGAAACGTTATATTAAATGTTGAATTGAAAAAAATATCGAGATTTTATCAAAATATAATATCAAATATTATATTATAGTATAATATCATTGATAATGCTTTCAATGTTTTCTTTAAATAAAAATCTATTTAATTATTTGCTTATATTAGTGTGAGTTAATTAATATATTTATACTGTAAATTAAGATATCATTATCACTATCATAAAAATGACAATTACATACATGAAAACGATATGTAGTTTTATTTCTATAATTAAGAATATGTTAATTTTATAGATAATAGTTTGATGTATTGTTTAATTTTATAATTTAATGATTTATAATATATATTTCAGTAAAATTTCAGTTTTAATCAGCTATTTTTGATACTAATGAGATGATATATTTTAATTAAATATAGTATATATATTTACTCTATATATTGTAAATTAAAACTTTTGACAAAATTCATTATATTTTAATGATTTAGAAAAATTATTAAAAAAATATATCATATATATATATATAGTTTTGTATAATAAGTAAACTATATTATATTAATTTAAGATAATATACAATATATACATAATCTTTAGCAATTAAATATAATTATTTATATATATAAGGATATATATTAATATATTTGGACAACAAAATTTAATTATAAAAGCTAAATATATTAAATTAATGTGTTGTCTTTAAAAAAAATTATAAACATTTAATTTGTTTAATTATGACAATAAATTATAATAGTATAATTTAAATAATTTTTAAATTACTTACTTTTCTATAACAATAATAATAATAATGATGATGAAAATTTCTATAATAATGAAAAATATAATACAATAGAAATTGAATTTTTTCAACAGTAGGTTACAATTTATATATCATTTGCAAAAATCTTATCGTTAAAAATCATATATCTATTATTCTGTATTAAATAATAATAATAATAATAATAAAGTACAGTAAATATTATTATTATAGTCTACTTAAATACTGGTAGTGTATTGTTAATACAAATATATTATACTGTAGTATCATAAAAATGTACATTGGTGAGTTTGCGCTTATCGTGGGTTAATTTTTTTATTTATTTATTTATTTTTTCAAACACACAATCATGTGTTTTGCCATTTAAACTAAATATTTTGTCTGTAACATTAGTTTAATAATAATATTTAATATATTTAAAAAAAATAAAATACTATTATTATTGGTAATTATTAATTCACTTACATTTGTTATATTCTCAGATATATATATATATAAATTAAATATTAATTTAAGTGCAAATTTTTGTTGTAGTAAATAAATGTGTTTTTATAAAATATAAAAAGTTTTTAAATTGATAATATTGATAACACCGGTATGATATTTGCAACTTCAATGATGATAATAATTTCTCAATCATTATAACTTATACATTAGTATACTGTATAATAATATAATTAACAAATTGATGATTAGCTGAATATCACTACTATATTAATAATAAGTCATTGAAAAACTTTTTTGCATTGAAATTATTTGAAACTTTTTTTTTTATTAATAAAATAATTATCTGTAAACCTTGTGTGTGTGACAAAAACATTTAGATTTTAATTAATTAATTAATTAATTAATACCATTGTTTCGACTATCAAAACCTATACTATCAGTACTTTTGAAGAAGAAACCAAAAAAATGGTAGAATCGATAATATTCTCGAAGAATAAGTTGAAAATATTGAATCAATTGAAACTTCCGCTGCAAGTGGAGTACGAAGACATTAACAATGTTACCGATGCCTGGAATGCCATACATTCGATGAAAGGTATGTCCACACAAAATACCGAAACCAATTGCAAGTGTCTAACCATTTGTTTTTTTTATTTGTTAGTTCGCGGCGCTCCGGCCATAGCTATTCTGGCCGTTCTGAGTGTTGCCGTTGAACTAAACGATCGACAGTTGATCAGTCCGTTCAATGACAACAAAGAGCTGCTATTGTCGCGACTGAGAGATCAGTGTACATATCTGTGCACTTCGCGGCCGACGGCCGTCAACATTGACAAAGAATGCAAACAATTGGTTCAATTGGCCCTAAAATTGTCGACCGATTCAAATGTTTCGTTCGAAGCTATGGTCAATCAATTGACTGAATATTCGGTAAATTTGTTGCAAATCGATATCAATACCAACAAAGCAATCGGCGATTTCGGTGCCAAACATATCAAGTCGTTGGCCAATAAAGAGTCGGTGACTATACTGACGCATTGCAATACGGGAAGTCTGGCCACAGGTTTAGATTAAAATTTTTTGTATAGTTTTAAGATTTTTTTTTAAAAAATAACAATTTTGTGATACTGTTTCAGCCGGTTATGGGACAGCACTGGGAGTTATCCGATCGTTGCATTTAACCAATAGTCTGACCCACGCCGTTAGTATACATATATTTAGATTAATTATTACAAAATTTATATCAAATAATTGAGTGACAATTAGTTGTTCAAAACCCAAACCCACAGTATTGCACCGAAACGCGTCCATACAATCAGGGCTCGCGACTGACCGCTTGGGAACTGTTGACCGATAAGATACCGTCGACATTGATCTGCGACAATATGGTGGCCGCTCTTTTCAAAAACAAAACTGTCGACGCCGTTGTGGTCGGAGCTGATCGAGTGGTATGTGGATTAAGTAACAGATGATTGTTTTAATTAAATGATTTACTTATTATTAAATCAATTAATAAGGTGGCCAACGGCGATACGGCCAACAAGATTGGCACCTATCAGATAGCGGTTCTGGCCAAATACCATTCGGTGCCATTTTTTGTCGCTTCGCCGCTGAGTACCATCGATATGAGCAAACAGAGCGGTAATGAGATACCAATTGAAGAGCGACCGGCCGATGAGATCAAAAAGATTGGCGGCATTCAAATAACGGCTGCCGGTATGACTGTGTCCTCTAAATAAATTGAATTTATATATTAATATTATAATTGATATCAGATATCAAATGCTGGAATCCATCTTTCGATGTGACGCCCAATGAGTTGATAACCGGAATCATCACTGAATTGGGTGTCTTCGCCCCAAATGAGCTCAAGACTAAAATCAACTAAAATAAAAAAATTACAGACAATTTATTTCAGAAAATCAATTCAGAAAATTCATTAGAAAATTAGTAATTTGTTGTTTTTTTTTAATAAAACGGGTAATAAAATATTTTTTCACAAAAAAACTTGTTGTTGTTTAACAAATATAATTTACATAAATATAAATTTATATATGTATTAATTGTTTGTATATTTCATGTTAAAAATAAATTGATCTTTTGATTTGTATAAATAATTTTGTAATCAGATTCTTCGTTTTTGTTGTACAAATACAGTATCGCTAGTATAGTCATAAGTATAATAATAATAATAATAAATATGTCTTAAAAAATAAATATATGAGTGATCTCTCTCTCTCTCTCTCTCTCTCTCTCTCTCTCAATAATTTGTATAATTTATATAAATTCATTAATAATAAAATAATTGTCTCTTAAGTGGCCGAATATCGTTCGAGAAGAAAAGCGTGACACGAATCGCAAACTCTGACCGGCTTTTTGTTGGACGGAAGAGGCATTTCATTGTTGGAACAATTGCCGCAAAATATTTCGCCACAACTTCGACAGTGATGCTAAATAATAATATTAACAATACAATCAACAATCAGTAAATTGGATCAGATATAAATATATATATATAGATATTAAGAGTTACCCTTCTTCTAGCAATTGAAAACGGTTTTGAACATTGATGACAATCGGCACTGTTTTTATCATCAGTCCAAACGGCTTCTTTCAGTTTACCGGTGCTCTCTTTAAGGCCGTCCACTTCAAGTTTGGAGCTATATATATATGTTTGGTTAGAATAATAATAATAATAAATCAATTATCAATAAATGACAATCCATTGATTCATCCATATCTATGATAGATATAATGATAACTAACTCTTGCAATTGTCTTCCCATTTCCTCTAACGACAGTTCATAGTCGGCAATTCGTTTCTTCAGCACATGATTTTCGCTTTTTGTATGATTGGCTTCGCTTGAAGTTCGTCTCATGTTTTCCATCTGATGTTGCAATGAAGTAATCTGTTCCTGTTGTTCATCGATCAACGTTTGAAGAGTGGTTCGCCATTCCTTCTCTATGATGGCATCCCTTTCGGATGATATTCTTTATGAGCAATCATTTAACAACAAAAAAAACAATTATAATTATCAACAAAAAAAATAACTTATAATTAAAAGTCTTAACGGTTTACGACTACCTTTGGCTTTCAACATCTGTTAGCTTTTCGTTAAGTTTTTGATTGCTTTCCTCAGCATTTTGTCGTTGTTTTTCATATGAAGAGATTCTTTGTGATGAAAACATAAGAAGAAAAAAAACATATTTATAAATATAGCTTTTTTTATAAACAAAACATTAATAAAAAATGTTACTATTAGATCATAATAATCATGCAATTATTTATTTAATTAAAAATTTTATTAGATTTTTTTTATATGTATACAATAGATATTAAATTTAAATTAAAGAAAAAAAAAGTTGTCAGTGATTGGTATACTTGGCCTCGAGTTTAGAAACATTTGTAGCCATCGATGAGATATTCTGTTCGAGATGTGTGATATGATTGCATTTGTTTTTAATGGATGTCTCGCACTCTTGCAGTTTATTATACATCTGAAGATTGATTGCTTTGACATCTTCTAGTTGTCTACGAAGTGTAATAACTGTGTCTTGTTTTTCTAGAACATCCCTTTCCAACAATTGCATCGCTGTTTCCGCTTCTGTCTTCAGAAACACTTGACTTTCCAATTCTTTTTCAACAGTTTCTCGTTTTTGAACTTCTTGTTTAAGCTGTTCCTCTAACTGTGATACTTCTTCTTTGTATTTGTTAATAGTTTCGACTTCCGATGACTTAACAATATCATAGCATTTGTCAATATTTCTTAACGTTTCCAACTCTTCTTTCATCAATGTATTATCTGTTTGAAGTGTTTCTAATTTGTGCTCTAAGTTGACAACCGTTGCGCTAATAATTAGTTTATGTAATTAAATATAAAATTAGTTTTAAAAATATAAAATTATTTTAATTAATTTTTTAAAAAAAAATCATTTAAATTCATACATACCTTAAATGTTTGTTAAGTTCTTCGACATAATTTTTTTGGTCCAAAACTATTGATATATTATCTCCGACACCATTGCTGTAAAAAATTATTATTTAATAATAATTTTTGTTTTTAAATAATCCTCAAAAAACAGCTAATTGATAGCCAAATGTTTAACTATTTGATACCATTTGTCATTTTCGTGGTTCTGTTCTCTCCAATCATAATCTGAAGTATCAAATTGTATGTTATCTTTCAAATACAAAGACAAATCGATAACAGCGTCGTTTGAATCCAAGTCGTCTTCTTTGACACAAAAATTGCAATCAAGAATATTGAGTCCGACAAGTAGTCCGCCGATGACAACTGCCTCGTCGGACATCATTATCGACATGTCTTCATAGTAATCATTCAATAAGATTTCCCGATTTTCCAGTAGAAGTCGAAAATAATCGGACAATCGTTTCTTCATTAACGCCAATCGCATCCAAGCTCTCGCTTTGCCCAATGAAGTCCTTTTAATTATTTATTTTGTTGAAATGAATTGCCATTAAATAAAAACTAACCACAAAATCAAAAAAAAAAACAAATCATACCTAACAGTCGGAACCTGTCGGGCACTGGTAGTAATATCTGAGGCATCGGGCGATAACTTTTCGACGATCTCAATGATGGCCCAAATGTCCTTTTTGGTCTCGAAAATACCTTTTTTAGCTGATTTTGTTGTTGTTGTTGAAGTCAAACAATTAAATATCAATCAGTATTCAATCACTTTATGGTTTACAATAATAATAATATGTTTTTTTGTGCATACATTTGAGTCCGTGTCTGAAAATTATCTCCAATAAAATGAATAAATTATTTAATGAGATGTTTGTCGAGTCAACGATACGCCTGGTTTTCGCTGAACTTTCGATCAGTTCTTTGACAATCAGTTTCATGAGATTCACGTAATTTGATCTCTCGATTGACCATCGATTTCGGTCTGAAAATCCCAAAGAGATAGAAAAAACATATTTTTATAATAAAAAATAATTAATCAATAAATTTATTTTTAATGCAAACATTTATTAAAACTGTGTATTAAATGCTTTTTATTGGCCAAAACCAGCCAATCGCCCGAAGCTAACACTTTATAATGAGTTAAACGATTAGACATTATTTAAATAAAATAATAATAATATTTTTGGTTTTTATTTAATAAATCTAAAAATTATTAACTCCACTAAAATGCTTAACAAAACGTACTAAAAATTTCATTATATATAGTCAAACAAATGTCAATATTACTTATGATTACTTATTGTCTAATCATATCTTTTTTTATATAAAGATATTTTAGCTTTGTTTGCCTTTTTAATCATCATTTAATAAAAATAATTTACTGAATACCTATGAAAATGGTAATGAAAAATGTTTATAAATAACATGATTTTGTACTGTATTTCAAATTGATTAATACATATACATTATAGTAAAGTATAAGTCCTAGGTTATATTTTTTTTAAAAAATCACCCTAAATAAATAGTCTAAACTATTTCACTAAATATAATTTAAGAAAAAATTATTTTAAATTACTATTTCACAAAAATATTTTATTAAACTATGTATAAAAAATGTTTGTTAAACATCATGATTAACAAAATTAAAATTTGCAATATTAAAAAGTTTATATACAGTATTAAAAAAAAATAATTATGTCACCTTTAAATATTATAATTGATTTACTATACATTATAGTTGCATAATTATTGACTAAATAATTAATACATTTAAATCGTGTAATATTCCACTAATAATTACTATTTGGAAATATATTTTACTAATATTATTATTAATTATATAAAAATCAATTTTATATAACATATTGATTTTGTGTATTAATACTAACATATATGTGATAATCAAAACTATATAAATATTATTATTTAATACCATTTTACTAAATCTATGATTAATTCCGGATTTAGCTTAATAAATATAAAATTATAGCTAAAATTTTCGATTTGTATGTAATATTGTACAATATGTTGTACAAAAAAAGTGCATAAAATATAGATTATTATGTCTAATATATGATATTTTATGATATTAGTAAATATCAGAAATTATTATCTAATAAATAAGTTGTTTGTTTAGTATATGTCTAAGTTTTTTTTTTATAATTATACCGATACACATAAGCAATTGAAATATCAATTATACTTCAAAAAAAAAAATGATCAATTATAAATTAATATTAATACTATAAATACCTAAACTATAAATATCATATCATATATTAAATATCATATCATATGCAGTGATAATATATACCGGTATTTAATACATAAATTATACACACAAATAAAAAAAATAATCTATAAATTGAAATTAAATCATTAGAAAAACAAAGTTTTTTTCATATAATTTATTTTGAATTAAACTTTAAAATATTTTTTGTCTGTCTATAAGTTTTTTTTTCGGTGATAATTATCTCAACAACAAAAAAATTGTTGACACAAACAACACATTTACTTATATTGTGATAACAATTATTATAATTAAAATTTCAATATTCACACCATTTCTATGAAATGATAAGACAATACATTTTTTAGGCGTTTTTCAAATTATTTATTATTACTATTAGTTGAAAACAAAAACAAACAATTCAATCAATTATCGGGTTTTTTTAATTAACACACAAATAACAGATCCATTAATTAATTAATTTATAAAAAAAAACTAACAAACGATTACCTCTTTTAGTAGCCGTCTGTCCAATACTGCTGTGACCATCACTACTACTGGCCGTTGTTGTTGTCGTCGACGACACCATCGACTTATCACTTGTTTGACTCTTGTTTGACTTAATCGATATCTTGCGGCCGACGGCTATTGAATTGTTGGACACACCGTTTCCATTGACGACAATCTTGTCGTTGTTGTCGGCGACGGCGACCGCAACAAACTCTTCATTTGTGTGTCCATTGGTTGCCACCACAACAGCTGTTGTACGGCAATCGGCTTTTGTTGTCGTCGTTGTTGTTGTTGTCCTGAGATTGTTGTCGTTGTCGACGCTATTATCACCCATTGCTGATCTGTGTTGTCTTTGAGGCAAAATTTGAAAGACACTGTTGTTTTGTTTTGTTTTTTGGTGGACAACTCAGATGACAATTGATAATCGATAAGACATTTTTGAATTAACAATTATTTTTTTAAAATAATAAAAATATATTGAATTTTTTGTTGTTTTAAATTACAAATAAATAATAATAATGATCATGGTAAATTTTGTGTGTGTAAACAATTAAATAATTGTTGGATTAATTTTAATTGATAGTGTCATCGATGGTCATATCAATCACAAAATACAAATGTATTAATAGTTTTATCATTTATTTACAAACTGTAAGTAAATAATAGAATCAAACGTCAAAATTGGTGTCAAATATATTGAGATAAAAAAATATTTTACATTTTATTTTATTTTTATTTTTGTTGGTTTTTATTACAATATTATAATTCAGAGCAACTTTTTCCAATGAGGGAAGTTTCCTAATAAAATTCCATCCAATTTTCTATGGAAAATATAATTTAGTTTCCATCCCTTTATCCTCAGAAAAGGGAAAATAATATTTTTATTTTATTAGAATAAATAGTATAAAAAACTTAGATATTAAGTAAGTAAATTTAATAATAATTAATAAGTAAATTTCAATTTTAATATATTTATTAGTGATATTACATTTTTTATCAAATACCACTTAAAATATAGTTTAGTATAATTTATTTGTTTGTCAAAACATATTATAATAAAATGTGTTGTTTCTAGAGTTTAAAATAGGTGGTAGCACTAGGAAATAGATTCATTAGGAATTTCCAGGGAAATAAAGAGAACATAAGGAACTTTTTTTAGTTTTAAAATAGACGAGGGAGGGAATTTAATCGAACCCTAATTATGTTATCATAGGATAATATGAGTTGTACACCTAATCATATGTATAGATAATAGTAGAGTAAGTTAACAATATGTTAGAATTGTTAATCACTTTTATGTTAATTAATATTATTATTAATAGGTGTACAACACTAGTAAAATACTGTAAAATTTATTTATTTTTTGTGTAAAATATTGTTTAATTCTTAATATCTATTAAATTTGTATAAAAAATAATATTTAATATTTTATTTTATACATTTACAACAACAACAAAAATAAATATTAATTTAAAAAAAAAACATTTAGTGCAGCTATTATTGGGTATATGATTGCCCCCTTAATGTACATTAAATTTATATTATTATTAATAATAAAATTAAATACAAACTGCAGTATTATAGAGGACTTTACACAAATACTATGACTTTATATATATTAAAAAAGCCATAAAAACTTGCAGTAAACTAAAAATTAAACGTTTTTTTAAAAAATAAATATTTATAACAACATATAATACAGTATTATAAATACAAAAAATATTTTACCAAACAAATTAATATTAATAATTTTTTTTATCATTATATTGAATGAAAAAAGTTCATCAAATATTTAATAAATTAATATTAAATAAATCAACAAAAAAATATTACAATTTGCACGTCCGTATCGATCTCTATATTGAATCTCTACCTGTATATTGCAGTGTTGGCGGGCGAACACCTCTACACTATGTATGTGTGTATTATAGCTCTCTCTCTCTCTTTCAGTGTTAATGAGAGATAGCGTTGACTCACATTTTGAACACACTTTGTATTACAACAATCGCTGTCTTTAATAATATAAATAATATATTAATATTAAAATCAAATATTAAAAAAATATATTAAATTTAATAAACAAATTGTTTATCGGATTTAGAGTTTGTTGTCGAAAGTTATAGACATAGACGAGACATGACATCGGAGGTCAAGAAACAAGAGGTTTGTCAATGAATTACAAGGAGTTGTTGTATTGATTTTGGGATATGTATTGACCGATGATTTTTAGGTGAAGAACGACACGTCGTCGTCAAAGGCCGACAACTCGACAGCAGCAGCGGTATCGCCGCCGACCGACTCGACTAAAGAAGAGACAGCAGATGCCACTGCCGGCGCCACCGAAGTGGTGACCAAACATCCGCTACAAAATCAATGGCAACTGTGGTACTACAGACCCGGCGGTAAGGGWAGCGCCTGGGAGGACAACCTTCTTGATGTAACACACTTTGATACTGTCGAAGATTTCTGGGCGTACGTTAACATCAGTGTCTTTTAAATGATTGATTGATTGATTGCTTAAACTATTAATAATAATTGTGTCCACTTTTTTTTTTGTTATTGACCGACAGTTTATACAATCACATACAGTTGGCCTCGAGTTTGACTTCCGGATGCGATTACTCGATTTTCAAGCACGGCATCCGACCGATGTGGGAGGACACGGCCAATAAAGAGGGCGGCCGATGGCTATTTATGGTCAACAAGAGACAGGCCCGACCTAATCAACAAAATCCAACCGTCGATGAACTTTGGCTCGAAGTGGTAAGCAAGCGGTCATTGTATCATAAGTTGTGATAATGTAATTCACTATTTGTTTTGTTTGTTTGGCCGCCAGTTGTTGTGTTTGATTGGCGAAGCGTTCGGCGACGATAGCGACCAGATATGCGGTGCTGTAGTTAATGTTAGGCCTAAAATGGATAAGATATCGATTTGGACGAGTAGTTATCGTAGCGAACAATCAGTTTTGAATATAGGGTATGATTTTTTATTTGTTTGAAATTTTATAATATCTACCGTAATTTAACTGATTATCAATTTTGTTTTCGGGTGAACCATTTTTTTTAGACGAATCTTGAAGTCGAGGACAGGCTTCCAGCCGAACATCTCATACGAGGCACACAACGACACAATTGTTAAAACAGGATCAATAGCCAGACATTTGCACGTTTTATAGTAAATTAATTCAAATTAAATACAACAACAAAAACGATTTCCTTTTTGTACTCACGATTTAGGCAAATATTATATAATTTAAATTAATAATAATAATTAAAAATTATTAYCAAAAAATATAATAATAATATGAGAAAGAATAAGTTATGTATAAAGTTGACGAATAATTACAAAACTAAATATTTGTTAAATATCTTTTTAAAAAAAATAGAGTAATATTRCAGATAAACAAACAAATACTAACAAAAAAAAATTCACTCAATTAATATACATTACCGTAAATTAATGATCATTAATTATAATGATAATGTCACTTAAATATAATACAGTATATATTGATATATATATATATTTTTAATATATTATTATTATTATCTTTAAAATTTAAAATATATTAATTACTAGTGATGATTATTATTGATTAACTATTATTTAAGATATCAATTTGTAAGCGTGTGTGTGTATGTGTGAATTGAACCGTTTTTTTTTAAATATTAAATTATAAATTTATAATTTTGTCATATTTTAGTAATCATTTTTTTTCAGTGTCTATCGTTTATTATTATTAATTAAAGTTTGTTATATGAATCTATAAAAATAAAAAAATACATAAAAATAAGTGAATTTTTGTAAATTTAAAAAAACTATTTGACTTATTGACAAAAATAATAATATCTTTATAAATATTGGAATTATTATTAATTAAAAAATAAAATATTTTTATGCATTTAAAATTTGGAATGTGTGTATAAATTATTAATTTATAATTATCTTTAAATATATACTAAACTAAACTACTATATATAATAATCACAAATAAATGATAACAATTAGATAGTGTTTTAATTTATCAATCATATCATATATGAGATATCAAATGATATGATAAAATGGGATAAAATTTGTTTTTTGTTTGTTATTTTCAAAAGAGTCCAACTTTTTTCTTGAGATCCAATTGTTTCCATTTGGGAATTGACTGAAACTCTTTATGTGTTATACCGAACACTTGTTTAAAGTCGTCGGCGGTCAAATAAATCTGTAAAATTAATGGACAACAAAAAAGTCAAAATTTTTTAACTCAAAATAATATATATTTTTAAAAAATTAAAAACTGACCTCTTTTTTAGTGGGATCAACATCTTCGGGCAAAAGTATGGTCTCTTTAAGCGATAGCTTTTCGATCGGATATTTGTTGACTGAATCAAAGTCCGTTGAATAGCAATTGATATTATTGTTGTTGATATTGATATTGTTGTTAATGTTATTATTATTATTATTGTTAACACCATTTACATCAATTGGTTTACTAACACTTCCCGACAATTTGTTTGACGATTTTAAMTCATCTTTAATTTCGCTAAAACTTTTACTTCTCTGGAGTTGGAAATTGAATTGAATTTTATTTATTTGTTAGAAAACTATGTAATAACTAAAAACTATATAGATTTTCGTATATTTATAAATAGTTTTTTTTWAAAAAGTGCCTAAAATTTAAAAATAAAAGTTCAATCATAGAAGTAAAGAAAGTAAAGTAAAGTTTATTATAATAGTGTTTATAAATTATATTTATTAAAAATAAATATAACATTAAAGTGAAACAATTACAAGATTATACTGTATTATATACAGATCATACAGTATGTGATTAACATATCTTTAACATAACTTATAAATTAAAGGAAAAATTATAGAAACATTGCAAAAAAAAGTGACTATTATTATATAATGCTAATAAATATCACATTAAACTATAGTGAAAAATAAAAAGTTTATCACTACTGTAATATCATTGGGAAAAAAATTTAAATTATACAGTAAGCGTGAAAATATAGACATAAAAATAAAAGTGAAAATATATTATAGGTTTAAATTATACAGTAAATTGTTTGACCAACAGTTAAACAATACATTTGTGTTTTGTTGTTATCAATGTATTAAATGTGATACAGTTTTGTCAAACGTTTCTGTAATAAAATATTTAGCATTTTTTCACGATTGCTTACTTTCCAGATGCTATGATCCCAGACACCGAAAAAGCCGGTAAAGTTGGCCGGTTCGCAGCCCTGTTTCAATACAATAACAGGCGTATCCCTGTCCCGGTCGCTCGGATCGGTAATCAGGTATTGTTGGACGGCTTCGAGCGACTGTTTTCTTTCATCCCGGTTCGAGTGGTTACCAATCCATAGGAACAGTGCATCCCACGCGTCTATATATATATATACCATAAAATGGGTTAATCCCGTCAATAAAAATAAAATAATTTATTGCTTTATTATACACTCTTTTTTTTGTTTGTTTTATTTTTTTTAATTACCCAAAAGCATGACATCATCCTCAATGAGATCTGACTGATCAAAATGTGGCACCTCTTCGATAGTGAACTGTCCGTTAGCGTTACTACACTGAAACAGTCGGGGTGTGTGCGGATCGTTGGCCACTTGCAATCGCTTGTCGTTAGAATATTCGGCTCTACCGCCCAGCGCTTCCCAGAAGTCGTCTTTTTCCTGTCCCTCCGACACCAGACTCATACCATTTCCCTGATCATCGGCCACTTGTTTAGCCATTTCGCGTTCATCGCCCAAACTGCCCTAAATACCATATAATCCATATATAATTAGCATTTACTGTATATAGTATTATTAATTTAATAGAAAATAATAAAAACAGTTGTTTTTTAACTACCTTTCCGGCCCAAACATAGGTAGTCTCGGGTGTTATCAAAACAAACACGTCGTTAGAGTTGAGCGAAGATGCCAGCGGATCAACTTCAATGGCTTTAGTATTATAGGAAGTGGTACCTCTGACTTGAAGCAAAGTCGATGACTTGGTCTCATCCGATGAACCCGATTGTCGATTATGAAAACCACTATCAAAGCCTCCCTTATAGAGAATCATTTTTCCGCTGAATATAGCCATGAAATGTGGCGGCTCTTTGCCCTCGACAACCCTAACCTGAACGGCTGATCCATTAAACTTATTATTGTCAAAGTCGACAGCTTTCATGGCAGCCGTTCCTCTTTCATCGACTGTCGACTTTGATCCCAACCAGTAGTAGATGATAGTCTGATTTGCTCCGTACGTATAGATAACAAGATAACAGTCGCCCGCATAGAACTTTCCGTGATCATCAGTGGCCACATCGACAACATCGAAATTTTTCACCCGATAAACCTCTTTATGGCCGCTGCCGTCGTCGACCATCTGGGTTTCGGCGGCCAACACATGATTTTCGTGCAAAACTGTCGGATCAAACTTTTTCTGTGTAATTTTGGCCACTTTGCCAAAGCTGTAGGCTTTGCCCAAACCGATAGACTCGTCCAAGTCTTTCCACGATCGGAACAGATTCTTGAACTCAATGGGTTCGCCGCCGTCGATCACTCGGGTGACTCGGGTATGTTGGGGATAACTCTTTTTCATTATAAATCCCTGAGCGTTACGCATGGCTTCGGTTTTCTCCTTAGCCGACGCACCCTTTCCTACCCAAACCCAAAGGCCGGCCACATTGTTATCAATAATAAATGAATCCTTCAAACGATAATCAAATTGTTAAACAAATTTTTTACTTTTTTCTAACTTATAATATAATATACAAACATTTGGATTGAGATCTGACTGGTCTAACGGTCCGGTTTTCACTTTTGACACTTTAAGATTGTTGTCCTCATCGGTACAGTGATAGAGAACTATTTGTTGTCGTTGATTCATTTCGATGGTCGTATCTTTCGGTACATCCGTATGGCTCAGCACATGTCTGTCAGCGAATGGCAAATACTTTTCAAAGTACTCTCTCTCGGAACCGCTTAACTCGGATTCGTTAGTATCTTCAACAATGATGACTGCCTCACATTCCGGTGCATTTTCGCCTTTGATCTGTTGGGCCACACGAATGGCCTGAATTTTTTCCATATTGTTGGCGTACTGACCCGTCCAGACATAAATATACCGACAGGCGTCCAGTATGAAGACGTCGCCATCGTTCAGCTGATCCCAATTGATTTCGGATAACTTTTTTTATAACAGATAAAAATGTATATATATTTATTTAATAGTCTTTTTTAATTATTTGATTGCACTATTATTTATGGCTTTTATTGTAATTTTTTTTTTATTATACGACACCTCTCTAACAACCGGCGCTCTCTTGCCTTTCACTTGATAAAGATGTGGCTTCAATGATATGTCTATCTTATTAAAGCCGCTTTCGACGCCTCCCTTAAGAACTCTGGGGGTAATAAATATCAAATAAAATAATAAATTTAAAATACAATAATATTTATTATATATATTATAATAAAAAAAAATATTTCAATTCTGAAATAACTATTTGTAATAATGTTAAAAGTCCTTCAATTATTTATTTATTTGAAAAAAATGTACTAAAATTTTAAGTGATTATAAACTGATATTTATTCACTCTATAATGATATCAAACAATAATACAATATTTCAATTAAGTAAAATAAAAAATATGTAATGACATTGAAATTTCTGAAATCATTACATACAGTGATATCACAGACACATACATACATACATACCTCATACCGTTCCTGTAATATGATAAGAATCGCTGTGATTCGTGACCTAATAGTTAATAAAAAAAATAATAAATGATAAATAAATAATAATAATAAAAAATAATTTAAATTTTATGAACAATTTTGTTATTTATTATGTATTGCATATTATCAGAGAAAACATTTTTTTTTTCAATTGTAAATTTAAACGGACAAACCTTGAGTCTCCCGGTGCTGGACGGGACTACCGCCGAGATAGTCGTCCAATTCGACCGACTTGTAAGCGGCAACACCGGCTTCGTCTTGGGATGTCTTAGAGCCCAACCAGAAGTGTATGTGAATGTCAAGACCGACACCATTCTTGACCTCTCGAGGAATCAATTGAGAGTCGGCTCTATCTTTACCGTCCGATGCCTAGAGTTGTAGTTAATAGTAATAACAGTTATATATACAGTATATACCGGTATATGTTTATCAAAACAAATATATGATCAAAAAAATATATAATTTATTATAATTATCGATTATATATATATATATTATAATACATTTTATGACAAAACACTTACACAAATAACAATATATGAGTCTCCGTCATAAAACTGTCCATAATTTTCTTTGGGAACCGAAACCACTTGTAATTTCTGAGTTTTAATTGTCAAACAAATCAAATAAAAAATAATTTATATTTTAGTAAACAACATGTGTGTAAATATATATGTGTGCGATAATTAATTTATATAAATATAAATTATAATTATAATAAATTAACAAAATAAATGTCTAATAATTCGTGTCAAGTCATTCATTAAATAGCAATAATTTATTATGCATGACAATTGTAAATAATAATAATAATAATAATAATATGTTTATCAAAAAATTAGATACAATTATTGTTTAATAAATATCTTATAATTGTGTAAATAAATATTATACAATATAAAATAATATATAAATAATAAAAGCCTTAGACAACAACAACAAGGTTAATCTCTCTCTCTCTCTAATAAATAGGTTAAATCTCAGCAAGGTTTAAAGTGCAAATAAATTAATGATATATAGTTGTGCAATATATCTATCTATATTGCTATCTAATATTAATAATCTATTAATATTATTATTATAAATTTAGATAAAGAAAATAACATATATTTTTAATTGACATTTACTTCAATTCTCCAAACGCTGAAAAATGTTGAGTTTTGTGGTATTACTCTAAACGCCGGATCCACCGCTATTGTAGACATTATTACTATTATTATTATATTATTGAGATAATTGATGTATTAATTTTAAAGGTATATAATTATTTATTAATTTTATATTATTTTTAATTTTTTTTTTGGTTACTATAAATAGTATAATTGCAAACTTTGCACATCAAACACACACACACAATGTTAACAACAAATGTTAGGGAAATGAGATGAACAAACAAATTAATTTTGAAAAAAAACTAGAGTTTATTAAACAATCATTTAAAATAACAAAAAACTTAATTATATATATATATATAGTATATACATATATATATATGAAATAAGCTTTTTATTTGTGTTTGAGTGATAGCGACAACAGTTAACAAATTAAAAACTAAATAAAGTTTGTTTTGAATCTATAGAAACATTATCTAATGAAAAYACATCACTGAAGTAGTCGTTTAATAGTTAGGTAGTAGTCATCGATGAGGTTGTGTTGAGAGCACGCAATCGACTCTCGACTTTATAAATAGTATTCACTGTTTTTTTCTCTCTCTCTCTCTTTCTCTCTCTCTTTATTTCAAAGTTATATTATTATTATTATTATTTAAAGGGAGTATCACTTCTACAATATGTGTGTCTGTGTGTCTCATAAATTTTTTTCAGTCAGTCGACACATACATATAATATATACAAGTTTTCAACTGTTGTTTCAACCAAAACTAATAGTGGATAGCCTTGTAGTTTTGAGTTTGTTCGGGGGATCGACAGCTCCGGAAGGAAACCCAGTGTTTCATACGAAAACTATTTTACTAATGTGAACACTAAGCTCTCTCTCTCTCTCTCTCTCTCTCTCTCTCTCTCTCTCTCTCTCTCTCTCTCTCTCTCTCTCTCTCTCTCTCTTATTGAGACATAAAAAGTTTATATTATTAAAACATATATCAGTAGATTGAATCAGGTTTTTAACTGATCGCACATTTGTTACGGATTTTTTGTTGTTGTATGTGTTTGTATATAAATTATATTAACAAATAACGCAAAACAAGAGGAAAGGGATGATATCATTGGTGTGTTTGAGTGTTGTGTTTGAGTTAGTCTAAACAATTATTCTGGTTATTATAATATACTATATATRTATATATAATGTATATACATAATGAAATTTTGTATTTTTAGATTATAATCTTTGTTAATTGTATTATTGTTTATATTATACACTACTTTAGTAATATAACGTATATAACAATATATAATATTAATATAACACTGTTTTATATTTTATCTGATAATTTCATAGCTTATACTGTATACTAAAATGCTAATAATATAAACCCTTGTCTATAGTAACTACAGAATGAAAATACAGTGTATTTACATATAGCATATAAATTTATCTAAATTTAATTAAAACTTATAAAATTATCATTATTTTTTCTATAATAAACAAAAAAAAAATCACAAATTCATAAAATTTAATATTATATAAAATCAATTGATAATTATTACCGTATTAACACAATTTGTGGTGCAATACAATTTAAGTGCATAGAAATAAAAGTCAATAAAATAATTAACTATAAATACTGTATATRAGACATGTATTTTTATTTGTTAATTTTATTTAATATTATTTTTCTATAACATACGGGTATATCACAGTATAATTTACATTATAAATGTTGTAAAAAATGTATTTTTATTTATTTAAAGTACACTTTAAGTATAACTTATAAGTATTATTTTAATTATAAATTTAATTAATGTAATTATTAAAATTAAATATTTTGATAGTCTTTTTGATATTTTTATTTATTATAGCTTAGTTAAAATGTGCAARCTTATATTATAAAATAAATTTAATAGTATTAATAATTATATATTATTAATTTGTAATTAATAGAATAATTATATATATAGAAAAATACTATAAAATAAAATTTATAGTAATTTCTATTAATTTAAAATAAAAATTGCAATCATATATCAAGTACAGTATAATATTTTATGAATCATATAAATATAATTATAAATGTTTTTGAATTAGATCTTATAGTTAACCTTCAAAACTATTTATAATGTTTATATAATTATTTATTATTATTATTATTATACTATTGAAATAAAAAATCATTAATTCAGAAAAATACGAGAAATGTTTATTAAAATAAATTGTTAATTAAAATTATTTATTTGCAAATAATTTTTTTTATTATTATTTACTTATTAATAAAAAATAAAATACAGCCAATTGTTTACAAAATGATATGCAAAAGTAATTTTTATTATTTTGTATATTTAATTTTATCGCTTTTATTAGTTGGCAATATTTATTTACGACTCTAAATGGATTTGATTAAATTATTTGCATAAATACTATGAATTTATTATTAATAATTATTGTAATAATTTAATTAAAAATGTTTTTATGTGATTATGAAAATTATTATTTTTTAAATAAATTATAGTTTAAAAATATCCATGTAACGTATCTATTAAACTAAAAAAATTAAATTAATTTAAATCATTAATTAGTCTAAAAATATTTATAAAATTTAAAAATTATGGCATCATTCAAATAATGTGTTATAATAAAACTAAATAATAAAAACTTACTAATAAAATTGCTTTAAAAAATAACCTAATTAGATATACATAAATATAAAATTATTTTAATATCAATTATAATAATAATATCATATAATATACACTATTATATAGTTTGATATTATAGAAAATTATCTATTATTTGAAATGTAATGTTTGCAGACTTTTGTAAATTTATATTTAATACGATATTAAATCGATAAAAAATTTAATTGTTTTGTCTAATAAAAATAACGACATTAATATAATGTATTTATTATCAAATAAAATATAAGTGTATTTAGTGAAACAAAAAAAAATTAGATAAATCAATTAAAGTTTACTTAATAAATATTACAAATAAAAAAATATTTTTATATACAGTATTTTGTAATAATGTTGCAATTAGTCTAATATCATAAAATATTTAAAAAATAAAACAAATTTAACAAAATTTATATATAAATGAATGGTACATTTAATTACAGAAATGAGACAAAAATAATTAAAATTTATTTTTATCATAATTTTAGTTAAAACATTTGGCTAAACATTAATATAAAACTGTTTTAAGTAACGCATAATTACTTAGAAAATTATTTATTTAAACTTAAAAATATTTATTATTAGTGTGATTATTCATAATTTATAATAAAGTATTTGCAAGTATTTATTAAGCAATTATATTTTTATTATATTTTAAAAGTCTAAATTCATATTTGTATTTAAGTGATTCATTACATATACATTTGATTATAATTTTAAAATATTATAATATCAAAATAAACAAATAAGCATAACATTTAGCGTTTTTATAAGCAAACTTATTATTACTATTGTAATTATTTAAAAAATTAACAATAAATAATAATTAATATGTTTTTAAAACTAAAAATTATTAATTATATAATAGTATATTATATTTTTAAATAAAACTTATTTGAAAAGTAATTTAATTCATTACATCAAACCATTTAAAGATATAAAACTAAATTTTAAATTAAATTATTTTATTATGTATCACAAATTTATAGTATAAATACAATAAACATTATTCAATACACTGTACTAATTATTTATTTATAAAACCATAAATGTATTTTATACTGAAAGTACTTTTTATTATAATAAATACTGTAAAATACTGTTATATAAAATACTTGACTCATATATATTTGTGCTAGATTAGATAGTTATATATATTTCTTATATCATGCTAATAGCTATTGTTTCAATATTTATAACTATTAAGATAAGATTATACTGTATATATTATTGCAATTTATTTATCAGTAAATTAAATTTATAAAAGATAATTTAATAGAAATTTTAAAAACAGTTTAAAACATTTAATTTAAATTAAAATCACAAATATAATTTAGAGAGAGAGAAAGAGAGCACTAATTTGATTAGTATTTTTTGAAATATTACTTTAAAACTTCATCGGAATGTTAATTATAGTAAACAAATAAACTTAAATACTATTCAATTCATATAATCTCTTTTAATCTCTCTCAACAAAAAAAACTATAATTATTTTTTATGTCATATTTTTATGGGTAGACCACATCAATGGGAAATAGTTATGGCACATATAGCTTATGGCTAAATATAACTCCACACACACACACACAAACACACACACACACACACACACACACACATACACACACACACACACACACACACACACACACACACACACACACACACACACACACACACACACATACATACACACACATACACACACACACACACACACACACACACACACACACACACACACACACATACACACACACACACACACACACACACACACACACACACACACACACACACACACACACACACACACACACACACACACTTAATCGACACATCAGAGAGTGATTTTTGAAAAGAAAAGTAGAAATTCAGGAAATAAGATCTGTATTACATATTATTATTATTATTATTATTATTATTATTATGATAGACAACAAGTTTGGGTACATTTTTATATTATATTATACTGTATTGTATATGAAATCCTAAGGCAAACCAATTATAGGTCAGCAGTTGTTTCCAGTTACAGCAAATTTATATATATATTTCAAAAAATATATATATTTTCAAAAATACATATACAAAATATTAGTTTACTTTCAGTTTCACTTCATTTCACAATTTGGTTAACAATTTTTATTTTTTTTTTTTGGTGTTGTGTTTTGCTTTTAGTAAACATCTTTTTTTAAATGTAACAAAAAAAATAATATATCGATAATAATAATAATGTATTTAGAAATAATATTTTCATTATTAGTTTGTCTGATAATTTTATCARTTTTGTCGATATTTATGCTTCGGCTATATTTTCGGTTGAGTTGCGGTGTTTGCAAAAGTGATAGAGAATTAAATGGAAAGGTAGTGATCGTGACGGGAGGTAATACTGGTATTGGCAAAGAATTAGTCAGGGATTTAGCCAAAAGACAGGCAAAGATAATACTTGCCTGTCGTTCAATGGAAAGAGGAAAGGAAGCGATGGTTGATATTATTAGCGAAACAGGAAATCAAGAGATTTATGTTAAAAAATGTGATATCAGTTCATTGCAATCGGTTCGACAGTTTTGCGAAGATGTGCTCGACTCGGAAGACCAGTTGGATGTATTGGTTTGTTTTGCCGGTTCGGGTGCACCGTTTGGCCGACATTTGACTGCCGATGGCGTCGAAATGCAATTTGCGACCAACCATTTGGGACACTTCTTGCTCGTCAATCTATTACTGGATCTAATGAAAGCGACACCCAATTCCAGAATTGTCATCACATCATCGTCCGCTCATTTGTTTGGTAAAATGGATTTAGAAAATATCAGTACATTCGACAGCTACATAAGCCATCCATTTGTTAGCTATTGTAATACAAAACTGGCAAACATTATGTTTATGAAGGAACTACACGAACGACTGGATGGTACCGGTGTTGCCGTCAATGCCGTACATCCGGGAACTATCTATACGAATGGCATCAGATATAACAAGATCTGGTATATCAAACTATTTCTGACATTTATAGCATTTCTCTATAACAAGAGCCTAGAAGAGGGCGCACAGACACTCGTCTATCTGGCCGTCAGTCACGATGTCGACGGTATTAGTGGCCAATACTTTACTGATTGTAAATCAGCAAAATATAATCCATTGGCTGACGACCAGAACCTAAGGAAACAGTTATGGAAACTGAGCGCTCAGTTATGTGATTCACAGCTCAAGAAAAGTCTGATAAATATGTATTGATATGTAATTTATTTATTTATTATTATTTTGTTTTTTTAATTACTAATAATTTTTTTATGTAATTTTTATTTAAAAATAATGTAAATCATAATGTATTATATCTGTAATTTATAAAAAAAAATTGTTGTTAATTGTATTATATGAATGAAAAATTATTGGAATTAAAATATTTATTTTTATTTATAACAAAAAAAATAAATTGCTAATAGTCTCATCAATTTAGTTAAGTTTTATTTATATTAAAAAATATTAATAATTATATTCAATTTTATGTCAATTGTTTCACAAAAAATGTGCCAAACATTATAATCACTAATTGTTTTTTTTATAAATAATTTATCACAAAAATATATATATATATCATATAAATAAGACATGAAATGTTTGAACCAATTTATAAGTTTATAGTTTGATGTTAATATATATATTTTTTCCTAATTGTTGTCTAGTTATATAAAAATTCAACACAAAATAATAATAATAATGATATCACTTTTGCTTTTTAGATTGCTTTTAGATATACAGTATAAATTGTTTTTGATTTAAAAAAGTTAAAAATCTAAAAAATCATTTCCTATTAATAAAATTACATTTGGAGTCTTCCCAATATGTGTTGAATTTTTTTGTTGTTTTAATAATAATATAGTAATAAAAAATAAATGGTTATAAAAACAAATAAATTTAGATGATGATTTAAATTTACAGTACAGTATATACATATATATAATAATTAGCAAATCTAAGAGATTAAAAAAAGTCATAAATAATTTATATTTAAAATAGTAAATCTCTTTATTTTTAAAAAATAATAATAATAAAAACATTTTTTGAGTAAGTTTACGTCTATATAATATAACTGGAAAATTGCATAAAAACAATATACAAACTTTTTTTTTGGCACAAATTTGAAAACTTTTAAAAAGATGTTTTTAATATATAATTTACAAAACAATAAACTCTTTTATAGAGTTAATTAAAATAATTAATCAGAAATTTGAGTGTAAAAAATAAAAAACAAAATAAATATTAGCATAGCTTACTTTTATATGGTATGTATTGAATACACAATATATATATATATGATTATCTGCTTTTTTTAAACAAACAAACAAAAACTTGAAAACATCGCCACAATAATTGTTATCACAGATAAAACTGATTTGTTTTTATTTTGCTGTAAATTTGAAAATATTTTTTTGTTTTATTACTTATATTTTAATGGATGAAATCCTCTCAAATAAGTATACACTTAAACAAAGCTCTTGTATAGTCCATAAACATGAAGAAAACGATAACTAAGTCCATGTCTTCATCATTGTCGTCGTCGTTGTTGTCAATGATATAAGTGGTAGACATTTGTTCATAACAATCAAAAAAGTCTTTCAATGTGTCGATTATATCCATTATTATAATAATAATAATAATAATAAAAATATTGAGACATTTGATACAAAAATGTTTTTATTCGAGTAAAACACTAACTAATAAATTGTATTTTCCCAGAAAATTATATCACATAGATATCAATGTTTGTTTGTTTGTGTGTTTTAGTTAAAGTTAAGTAAATATATGGTTCAAAATTATATATATTTTTTTAAACAACAAACTTTCCTCCTCTTTATTGACCCTAACTTTATTTACCTTGATGACCTTTTACTCTAGTTTTTACATACAATTTTTTAAATATTTAATTCAATATTTGATTAGTAATTTTTTAATTAATTTTTTAATTTTTTAAAATTATAATGTCGTATATCGTAAACTTGAGATATAATTTATAATCATATTAATACAGTACATCTATAAAAGAAATATAATGTAACATATATTTTTAAAAGTCAATAATTTATTTTGTAAAATACCCCCACATATAAGTAAAACTATAAGTTATAAGCTATAATATGTTATATTAGGAAAACAATTTAAAATATTTTATTTGTTGTTGTTTTTTAAAATATTTCTGTAAAATACCTAGAATTTAGTATAATTTAAAATGATCGCTAATATGTTTATTGATAGATAAAATATATATAATTTTTTCAAATTATTGATAATTTAATTTATATGTTTTTTGTTGTTGCTATCAATGAATAAAAATAAAAAATTATTCAAATATGACCTCATATAATATATGCGGAAATTATCTTATTATTATTATTATTATTATTATTTGAGAAATCCATAATATATATACAGTATATATAAATACAGGTTTTTACACAACTTTCACTATTTTCACTAACATTTACAACAATGATTTTTGAAAAATATAGGTCACATATAAACACACACACACATACATACATACATACATACACACACACACACACACATACATACATACATACACACACACACACACACATACATACACACACACACACACACACACACACACACACACACACACACACATACAGACCTACACAAWAACAYATACATACATACACACACACACACATACATACACACACACACAAAGACACACACACACACTTACAAATACTGTTCATATAAACTAATAATAATTAGCAAATAAATTTAATAAGATTAACGGTAAACAAAATATTTTGTGTGTGTCTGTAATTTATAATATAATAATTAATAGTATTTAGTCTTTTTTATTAATTCATTAATAACAATGCTAATGAATTAAATTTTAATTTTTTGTTTATTAAGCTTAATTTTTAAATTTATATTCATTGACAACAAATAACTTTTTTGTTAGTTATATATTTGGTCGATATTTGAACCAAAATAAAATATTAGATATTATTTTTTGCATAAAATATGTAAATTGTTTAAGTGGATCTACCAGTACGTGATTTGAAAAAACAATATAATAATACATTTATTAATTAACATATTATTAGTTTATTTGAGTGAAAGTTACAAAAATAGTATATACAATAAGTTTACTTATCCTAATTACTTACACTACATATAAATTTATAGATATATATATATATAAATTAATATAACATTAATATTAAATAATGTAAAAATAAATTACAAAATAAAATTTCTACAAGATAACCATGATAAATTATTATGAAGTTTATTTATTAAACTACTGAATTGTATATTAAATTATTTTGTTTAAAATTATATTTATAGAAAATAATTTTAAAATCTATTCTAGTTTTATATTATATTATATTTTATATTTAATTATAAAAATATATTTATAATTATAAATTTTCTAATAAGATATACGATTATATACTTTATTTTTATTTTTATTACGTTTTATAGTATTTAAAATTAATAAGATAAATAAATTTTATAATTTAAAAAAAATAAAAATTAATATATATGATTGAAAATTGAAAATATTTTAAAAATAATATTTAATGAATAAATGTTTATGATTTATAAAATAAAGTTTGATTTACTAAAGAAATAATATTGAAAATCTATTATATCTAATATAATAAAATAATCAAAAAAAACATAACTTTACAATTATTTATTTTAATATAAATATATATATATATATATATTGAATTTATAAAAGGTATATAATTTTGATATTATATTTTATTCAATAGAATTTGGGAGTAAAAATTCAAAGCAATGAAATAATTTAATTAATAACAAAAATTTTCTGTTTATATACTTTTAATACTTTACTAGTAGTAGTAGTAGTAGTGCCACTAATATTAAATAATATGATTGAATAAAACAAAAATTATTTATGATTGGACCGACACTTTTGCTGCCAGTTTTCGGGGCATTTATGTTGTCTTTACGGCTGACAAACAATTGTTGATAATCAGAGTATATTCTTAATTGAGAAGAGAGAGAGAGAGAGAGAGAGAGAGARAGAGAGAGAGAGAGAGAGAGAGAGAGAATCTCTGGAGATATTACTGGAAATATGAATACAAAAAAAATATATATTAGGAATTTCTAACAGACATAAAAAAATTATTTACTAAAATAACAATATATAATACATTACATATCACTTGTCTGTATTAATAATATGATCAGTTATATAGTTATGTCAAACCAATATCAAAAAATGTTATTATTGGTCTTTTTTTGTCTATTGATAATATATTTGTTTGTATGTTTTCTATTTACAGTATTTGAATCAAAATGTAAAGCTAATCAATGTTGAAAAATATAGAAAAGAGAGAGAGAGAGAGAGAGAGAGAGAGAGAGAGAGAGAGAGAAAGAGAGAAAGAGAGAAAGAAAGAGAGAGAGAGAGAGAGAGAGAGAGAGAGAGAGAGAAAGAGAGAGAGATGAATAAAGATGAAGAGGTAGAGAAAGAAAGAAGAAAGAAAGAGAGACATGAAGATGTGGGCAACTATTGCATTGAATGACATTTTTTTGGAGATCAATGCAAAAGGCGGTCATAAATATTATTATTATTATGTAGTCATACAGTAATATATAATATTATATATATGATTACGTCACTTAATTCAGTTAATTTTTTATATCATATTTAAAGTCATGTTATGTTTTGTATAAATATTATTAAGCAAAAAAAGTCTGTATATATTTGGCTGATTTTGATGAACAAGTAGTGAGAGATCTGTTATAACGATCGCAGACTTCTCTCGAGATATATATTTATATTTATATATACTTTATATAGAAAAGTGAAAATATTTTTAACAGATCCACAAAAACAATGGAAAAACTTCTTCTAATAGTTTTATTAGTCGAGTCGTTGATATGGTTTACATCATCGACACCATTGCAGCAGACAATTCATCCGATAAAAGATGAACAGTTGGACAACTTTATCAAACTAACACTTCCCTTATTAAGACATAATACTAATAATAATAATAATCTTAATAAAGAATTGGATAATCTTTATTATTATGATTTATTGGCCAATAATATTAATAATAATATCGATAATAATGATAATACCAATGATGAGAATTCTAAGAAAAATATCTCAAAAAATTTAAATAAATGTATTTATATTATTAATATATATTTTTATAAATTAATAAATATTCAGTTAATTTTTTTTAAGAAAATTAATCATTGTTTTTAAATAATTAATTTTGTTTTTTTATTATTAGTCTTTAAGCGTAAACCTGATGACTTTGGACACTTGCGGTTCGGCCGAAATGATGGCCAGTCTAGAGTTAAGTATAACGATCCCGACTACGGACACATGAGATTTGGCTAATCTTGAAATTTATTTTTGTTTTGTTTTACTATTATTATTAAATATATTTATTGTATTTTATTGATTATTAAATAATTTTATTATATATAACTAATGATGGCATACATGTATTTATAATAATAATAATAATAATAAGCTGTATATTATGTATTAATTTATTAATTCATTATTTTAATAAAAATTGTTATATTAATATTAATAATTAATTTAAAGATAATTATATAATTTTAAAGAAGTATATAAATTTATTTATTTAATAAATTTGTAATTTATATTAAAATTGATAAAATAATAAAATAAACGATTTGATTAAATAATATTTATTAATTATTTAAATAATTGAACAGAAAATTATTTTTAATACAAATATTTATTATCTATTACTACCAATTCAGTAAAAGTTAAAAATAATTAATATAATAAATTATAATTAACTTAGAATTATAAAAACTATAAATAATAATAATAATAAAATTATTATTATTATTATTAAAAATTATTATTATTATTATTATTAAAAATTATTATTATTATTATTAAAAATTATTATTATTATTATTAAAAATTATGTTATTACATAATATAAATTAGTGTAGGATGTTTTTACATATATAYATACATATAAATTTATATACTATATTAAATTGTTTACTGTATAAGCAAGATTTATTATATTTATAATTAAAATTAATTTATTGATATTATTAATATTATATTAAAAATTAATCTCTATAGATTATATCGTAAATGAATAATATCATAATAATAATTAATTATTCATTTAACTAAACTCATATCTGTTTGTCATAATTTATATTATTATATAAAATACAAACAAATATATATGTGATTTATATTTGCTTATGATTTAAAAGATAAAATTAGAAAAATTTATGACAAAAACTTACGATATAATAAATATTGATTATTATTTTTAATATAATTATTTTTCACCAAAAAAAACAAAATTATAGCACTTATACAGTATTTTATTGAATTTATTAAAAAATAATATTAAAATTTTTTGGTTTTCAATAACTGTAAAAATATATTAATATATATMTATATATATAATWAGATGTAAAACATTGCCATTGAATGCATTTGAATATGAATTCCCATTCAAATTGAATGTACTGTTTGTTTGGCCATTGAATTACATTTTTTTTTGTTGAAAAAAAAGTGAATCAACTGTTTGTCTCAAATTGTTTTCAAAGACAAAATCGGTGATTGATTTTTTTGTTTTGGACCAACAGTTTCGGGTGATTATTGTACGGACATATCAACTGATGGACAATAATAATAATAATAATAATAACGACGACAACAACAATCAGCAGCCAATAATGGATCAGTTTAGCAACAAATACGATATATTGAGTCTCTTTGAACAACGATTGATTCAGACCATCGATGAGATCAAATTGCAGAGCGTATTGAACCATCCGATGATGATATGACCAAACAGATTGTYAATTGATTTCATTTCTTCTTCTTCTTCTTTCCGGTACAGACAAGAATCAAAGACTTGGAGAACGAACTGAATCGGACTATCGATGACAGACATCGATGGCAACAGCTCTACGAACAAGAGTTGGACACCAATAGAGTGTTAATCGATTCATTAGATAAAAAACAGATGGAATCGAAGATTGCCGTCGAAATGCAGACCATCGAGTGTAGGGAAGCAAAGAATCTAGCGTTGAGTCAGTTGGCGATTAAAGACAAACAGATTGTCGATTTGAAACAGACATTAACCGAAACCAACCGCAAGTGTCATCAATTGCAACAATTGGTCGATCAAAAGTCTAACGAATTGCAGAAACAATCGATGTCTAAGTCGGCCATTGAATGCGATATAAGACAAGTACGGACCAAATACGATGCCATCCATACTGAGCTCAAGACTGTGGTCGAGGCTCACAATCAGATCAAATACATGAGTAATAAATATATTGATTTTTTGTTTGTTTTTTGAAAATTATAAAACCTGTTGTTTTATTAAATAATAATAATGTCTTTGAAAAAAATTAGTCGCGTCAACGGATAAGGCTATTAGTGGACTTAGAAAGCAATTAAACGATAAAAATGAAGAGATAGTTGTCATTCGTAAAGATCGACAATCGATTGAAAGCCAATTGAGTGAAATGAGTGCAAAGACAGAGACGAATTGCCAGCTATTGAATGAAAAAGACTTGCATTTGCTTCGTGTGACACAAACTAATGAATTGGTATTTGTATTGATCTTCAATTCAATTAAAAGACTTTCTTCTTATACTTATTATTCTTCTTCTTCTACTACTTTGCTCTCATTTCAATCTAAAAGTTAACTTTACTTTTACTATACTTTTAATATTTTTCTGGTAAATCGATTTTATAGCTCAAACAGGAGATAAACGATTTGAGAGATCAATTGAAACAATCGATGATTCAAAACGAAAGTCTAACCAAAACGTTGACAGAATTTACCGATAAGTCATTTGATTTGATGAAAAATAATAATAATAAGACTAATACTAATAATAGTAGTGAAGTCGAGACCACTGTTGATAACAAGCCTACTGTCAAACAACAACAACAACAACAAACAGCTGTTGTGATGGACACTAATAATTATGATGAAGGAGTAGTCGATGATGAAGTAATTGAAGGGATTCGAGATAATATTTACAACCATTTTAGTCAAACTATTCAGACAATTAATATTGAATAAGTTTTTAGGCGTTGAGATTAACTCATGTATGATATCAATCGATTCAAATAACAAAAAATTCATATATTGTTACACATTATATCTCAGAATAATTTCTTTTATAATCCAAATCCGATATAATTTTTTTCTCTCTCTCTCTCTTTGTTTGTTTGTTTAAAATAATTCTTTTTAAAACAATAGGTTTTTTTAAAAAAATTAACTGAATTGTTAATAATAATAATAATAATAACATTATTTCGATAGACATCTCAATTTGTGTTCGAAGAAAACCAATTTGTATTTTTGTTTTCAGTTTATAAACCAATTTTAAAATACAATTTTTTTATCCATTCATATATTGTTTGCTTTTTGTATCAAATAACAAACAAACAATTGTTTTGACAGCTTATGTATTTTCTTTTATGTCAAGCATTGAATTACAGTACAAATATGTGTTTTTTTTAATTTTTATTTATTTATTTTCTTGTCTGTAATAATAATAATAATTATTATTAAACTAAAATATTTGTTACAATATGAGTTGTATTTTGATTAAATTTTTTTAAAAGTAAAGTATATATAAAGTTTATATGCATTGCATAGTTTATTTTGTATTACAAATATTACTACAGTAAACACTATAATAATTTTAATTATTTGTTTGTATTTTTGTTTGTTTCAACTATAACTGAAAACTTCTATTTATTAAATGGTCAAAACTCTGTTAACTTTAAAAATTAATTTCTTTAAATTACAATTTTAAGAAAATTACTTATTATATCTATATTATTAATTTACAATTTAAATGAATTTTCTATATGAATTAAAAAAAACATGATAAACTATTAACAGTTTTAATTATAAAAAAAACAATAATAATAATGATGAGTTGTATAATTAAAAACAATATTTAAAAAAAACAATTTATAAAAATTGTTTAGTTTAATATGTTAGATGATGACTAGTAAATGTTTTAACAAACAATATAATTAATATTATTATTATAGCTATAAATAGCTGTAATTGCGAGTTTTTTTTATTATTATTATTAACAACTTGATGACCCTCATTATATTTATATGCAGTACTTGCATAATAAATGAGTTACCTATACATTAAATTTTTTATATCATATATATTAATATATGTGTTTGTTTGTACAAAAAAAAACCCGCGATTACTACTAACTCATAAATGCTAATCATAGCTATTATTATGAAGTAAACAGTATATTAATACTCTCTCTCTCTCTCTCTCTCTCTCTCTCTCTCTCTCTCTCTCTCTCTCTCACTCACTCACTCACTCACTCACTCACTCACTCACTCTCTTTCTGCTCTAAATTAATGAAATGTTTTTAATCAGTAAAAATGATATATAAAAATCTCATACAATAATCAGTGATATTATAATAATAAAACTAAAGTGTTTTGCATTTAGAAATAATATAATTATTATAAAACATAGTACTGTATATTAAAGTGTATATATAATACAACTCACTTACTCCTCATTTGATTTATATGATCACTCATTTGCCAGAATATTACAGAATATTCTGTATTCACCACTCATTTGTCAGCTTAAACAGAAACACAACAGAAAATAAATACTGCATTTAATAACAGCAATAATAATAATAATAATGAATAAACTCGTTTAATAGCAACCAATAGCCCTATTGTTATGTCGTTAAGAGTATTTGGGACATGAATTTGGGATTTAGTTTTCACTATTTTTTATATATAATATTAATATATGGTTAGGACTTATTGTGTGAGTCAACAATATTTTTTTCTCTCTCTACTGTACAATAATGCAATCATTTTTTAATGGCAATCATATATATATATATTAGTTTTGAATATCTATATGAAGTCATTTTTAAGGCAGGATTTAATATTTTATGACAATATATCATATATTAATATCATATAAACACACAATAATATTTTTTTGGTTAAGCCAAATGGTCGCCTAATATAGTATTAATATTAATAATAATAATATAATATTCAATGAATATCATTAAAAAACTTTTTTTACTCTTATCGCTCATAAAATGAGTCACTAATGAATGTTTTCACTAATTTAAAAGATTATAATGTATTTAAAAAGTAATAGAAATCTGATTTTTTGAATTGAATTTTATGTGAAATCTCGAGAGCTATGCTTTTAATGAGCATACGATGTGAATGTATTAACTGTATATAAAAAGGAGGAAATGTTATACAGAATATTCTGTATACACATTATATATATATATATATTTAATATCATTTAAATGATTTGTTGTTTGTTTGTATATAATTATATAATATATAAATTATAAATATAAAAGGAGATGTATTATTATTATTATTTTTTAGGTAACGCAAATAATACTTCCCGTTAACCCTAAACTAAAACTATACTAAAAAACTATATATATATATAATATGTAGATATCAAATAAATTATTATTATTTTTTATAAATATTGCAAAAATTTGTGTTTTTTTTAAAAAAAAGTCTGAGAAAAAAAATAGTAACAACAACACAAAAAAAACAATTTATTTATCTATAGCTCTGTCGAGAGCTTTAATCTATTATTATTAGTATTAGTAGTAATAATGGTTTGATTGTGAACCACATTATCTTCAATACTAATTGTGCACTCATTTGTTGATTGATCAGTGGTTTGAGATTGACTTTGGATGCCGCCAGTGATGGTGGTGTTGGTATTGGTTTGTGTGGCCATTGTCGACGGCGGTCTCGGCGATGGACTCATCATATTATCGCTCGACGCCGTAGTGTTCCAACTGTTACGCGAAGGCTTGTACGGCGAGACATCGCGAGATGAGGTCAGACTCTGTATTGTCAGCGAATTTTTCAGTACGCTATCGTCGGAAATGCTTTCGTTGTCGACATCTATACGGGAACAGTGGCTGACACCAGACATGAACCGGACTCTCTCTTCGTGCGAAGAGCTAGAGTTGTTGAACACAAACTAACATTTAGATCACACCAAAAAAAAAACTAATACTACTACTAATARTAATACTACTATCAAAACGGATTACCTGGAACTGTAGCCTGAGTTGGGTGGGGGTGAGCCAGAGTCGGCGTTAACCCATTTGCATATGAGATCATCCAATAGAAATCGATCGGTTTGTGTCGACGACGATGTCTTATTGAAATACTTGTTGTTTGAGCCGAAACTGTTGGTTGTATTGAGTGGCAGCTTCTGGTTCTCTTTGAGCAACGATGACGAAGAAAGACACAAATTGTTGTTTAGATTATTGGTCCGAACGTTTGCCGYCGTTGTCATTGTCGTCATCGCTGTTGTCGTCTTATTGAGTACAGAATCGCACGATTGAACCGGCGATGAATTTTGCGATGAGTTATCGTTTTGTTGAGCGAACTCGCCGTTCAATTGAAAAATTTTCTGCAGAATAAACACTACTGTCTTCATATCGCGACTGACTTTGTCGATCTCTTCGTTCATTGTCGACAATTTCGTATCGATCTCTTCGACGCCCGACTGAGTAGCTTTCAATTGATCCCTGAGATCRGCGCTYTCGCCGGACGACGTGTTCGACGAAGATATTCGGATGTTTTTCATAAAATTGATTCTATTGTTTATATGATTAGTACGTCGATTGGCCGACGATGCGGACGACAGCATCGGTATACTCTCGTTGTTAACAGTCTTGGCGTCCCATAGACTGTGCCGCTTATGATGAGTATTGTATGGGTTGACAGATGCCGGACCCCGAGGCGAGTGCGGCGGCGATCCCGTGTCGTCGCTGTCGTCGCGATTTTCGTTTTCTTCATCTTCGTCTTCTTCGTTGTTTTCGTCGTCCTCGGAAATGGACGGCAATGTCAGCGAATGGGCGGCGTGTAGACCGTTCTCCACTTCGCTTTCGTAGCCCTCACGCAAATTGAATGTCAAATCGTGAATAATTTCCGTACAAAATGTTTCGCCAAATTCGGTATACAATTTGAGTACTTCCAGCAGTCCGGGCACATGAATACTCTTCAGATCACAATAGGTCAGTGCTTTGACATCGCTGGACGACTTGATCAGTGTGTCGATGATCAGATTGCACGGTATATCACAGCCGACGAGATCGCCTTTGCCGAGTATGGCCACTACCATATTGTCTTGAAGGACTTCCATGGATCCATTGCAGACCAGATAGATGTTGGTA